TAACACAATTATAGGAGGCAGATAAAGTAACACTTAGAGGGAAATTTATATCTTTAAACACCTATGTCCATAAAAGTCCAAAATTGATAATCTAAGCTTTAACCTTAGGAAATTACAAAAAAGAACCAAATAAACCCAAAGTAAGCAAAAGAAAGGAAATAATAAAGATGAGAGTAGAACATGATAAAATAGAAAACAGAAAAATAATAGAGAAAAATCAATGAAACTAAAAATTTGGTCATTGAAAAGATCAATGAAACTGACAAACCATTAGCTAGATTGACCAAGAGAAAAGAGAGAATGTACATTTTAGCAAAATCAGAAATGAAGGAGACGATAGCACTATGGGCTTGATAGAAATTTGAAGGATTTATAAGGGAATCGTGTCAACAAATTTGATAACTTAGGTCAATAAACAAATTCCTAAGATAAAAATTATCAAAGCAGACTCAAGAAGAAACAGAAAATCTAAACAGACCTATAACAAAGAAATTAGAATTAATAAAGTATTCTAATGTTAAAATATTTCCATAATGAAAAGCCTGGACCCAGATGATTTCACTGGTGAATTCTCTCAAATGTTTAAAAAATAACACCGATCCTTCCCATACTGTTTCAGAAAATAGAGGAAGAAGGAACACTTACTAACTCATTCTATAATGCCAGTATTATCCCAGTACCAAAGCCAGACAAAAATGTAGTAAGAAAACTATAGATCAATATCCATCATGAACATAGATGCAAAAATTCTTAACTACATACAGAAGGTCCCCAACTTATGATGGTTCAACTTACAGTTTTTTGACTGTACAATTGCATATGCATCCAGCAGAAATAATACTTCATGTTTTTAGTTTTGATCTTTTCTTGGGCCAATGGTATGTGGTACAGTATTCATTGTGCTATTGGGCAACAGTGGCAGGGAACCACAGCTCTCAGACACACAGTCACAAGGGTAAACAACCGATACACTTACAAACATTCTGTACCCATACATCCGTTCTATTTTTCACTTTTGGTATAGTATTCAATAAATTGCGTGAGATATTCAACTCTTTATTATACAATAGGTTTTGTGTTAGATAATTCTGCCCAACTATCGGCTAATATAAGTGTTCTGAGCATGTTTACAGTGGGCTAGGCTAAGCTATGATTTTGGTAGGTTAGGTGTACTAAATGCATTTTCACCATAAGCATATTTTCAACTTACGATGTACTTAACGAAATGTAAGCCCACTGTAAGTCGAGAAAGATCTATATTAGCAAACTGAATCCAGCCACCTCTAAAGAGAAGTATATACCATTACCAAATGGAATTTATACCCAAAATGCACCATTGGTTTAACATCTGAAATCAGTTAATGTGAGGCACTATAATAGATAATAGAATAAAAAGACAAAACCCTTTGGCACCCACTACAACACCCATTTATAAGAAATCTAAATATACCAGGAACAGAGGGGAATTTTCTCAACCTGATAGACAGTATCTACAAAACCCACAGTCAGTGTCATACTTAGTGGTGAAATTGAATGTTCTTTTCCTAAGACTGGGGACAGGGTAGTGAGGTTCCACTCTTGCCATATCTATTCAGTATCATACTGGAGGTTCTAGCCAGTACAATTAGACAAGAAAAATAAAAGGAGCTATACTGGAAAGGAAGAAGTAAAAGTGTCTCATATGATATGATCCTGTATGTAAAAAATCCCAAGGAGTACACAAAATCTATAAAGCTAATATTTAGCAAGGCCACAAGGATCCAAGATCAATATACAAAAATCAGTTGTATTTCTATATACTGAGAACAGTCTAAAAATGAAATTAAGAAACAGTCATTCAGGGTGCCTTGGCTGGCTCAGTTGGTAGAGCATACAACTCTTGATCTCAGAGTTATAAGTTTGACCCCTACATTGGATGTAGAGATTGCTTAAAAATAAAATCTTAAAAAGAAAAAATAATTTCATTCACAGTATCTAAAAGAATAAAATAGTTGAGGATAAATTTAGTAAAGAAGTATAAGACTTTTACCATGAAAAGTATAAAACATTGCTAAGAGAAACTATAGATCCAAATAATATGGAGAAGCATTATATGTTCATGGTTTGGAAGACTTGTTATTGGCAAGATGGCAGTTCCCCCCAAAACTGATTTATTTAAAAAAATTTTTTTAATGATTTTTTATTTTTGAGAGAGAGAGACAGAGTGTGAGCAGGGGAGGGGCAGTGAGAAAGGGAGACACAGAATCTGAAGCAGGCTCTAAGCTCTAAGGTGTCAGCACAGAGTCTGATGGGGGGCTTGAACTCAAGAGCCAGGAGATCATGAGCTGAGCCGAAGTTGGATACTTAACCAACTGAGCCATACAGGTGCCCCCAAATTGATTTATGAATTCAAAATGATTCCTGTCTAAATCCCAGCAAGTTTTTTTTAAATAAGAAATTACAAGGTGATTCTAAAAATTCACAAAGAAATGCAGAAGACCTAGAATTTTAAAAGATCTAAGGTTGAAGACTCAGACTACCTCATATCAATAATTACTATAAATCTGTAGTAATCAGCAATATAGCACAAGAATAGGTGTAGTATTGGCACAAGTCTAGGCACATAGCCAATGGAACAATATTAAATATTTAGGGGCAAAAATCTTACATTTATTGTTAATTTATTTTCAACAAAGGTGCCAAGACAGTGGGTACAAGATAGTCTTTTCAGGGTGCCTGGTGGCACAGTCGGTTAAGTGTCCAACTTTGGCCCAGGTCATGATCTCCCAGTTTGTGAGTTCGAGCCTCACCTTGGGCTCTGTGCTGACAGTTCAAAGCCTGGAGCCTGCTTCAGACTCTGTGTTTCCCTCTTTCTCTTGCTCTGCCCCTCCCTGGTCACTCTCTGTATCTCTCTCCTTCAAACATAAATAAACGTTAAAAAAATTTTTTAAAATAGTGTTTTCAACAAATTGTGCCAGGACAGTTAGAAATCCACATGCAAAACAAAACAAAACAAAACAACCATCTAAATCCTCCCCTCAAACCACGCATAAAAATGAACTTTGGTCATAGACCTAATCGGAAGAGCTAAAACTGTAGAACTCTCAGGAGAAATATAGAAGAAAATGTTTATACCTTTGGGTTAGGCAGAGTTCTGAGATATGACACCAAAAGCACAATCCATAAAAGAGAAAAATATATTTGACTTCATCAAAATTAAGAATTTTTGGTTTTTGAAAGATACTGTTAAGAGATTGAAAAGACAAGTTATAGACTTGGAGAAGATGTTTACAAATCATAAATCTGATAAAAGACTTGTTTCCAGAATAAACAAGGGACTCCTAAAATTCAATATTAATAAAAACCCAATTTTAAAGTGGGCAAACTATTCACGTAGACATTTTGCCTAAGAATATATAGGGCAAAGAGGCACATGAAAAGGTGTTCAACTTTATTAGTCACTAGGAAGATGCAGTTCACAATATGAGATACCTCTGGAATTATATACTAAAATGGCTGTAAGTAAAAACACAGACAATAGCAAGTGTTGACAAGGAAGTGGAGAAACTGAAACCCTCACAGAGTACTAGAGGGAGTATACAATGATACAGCCAGCCTTTTTGGAAAGTTTGCTAGTTTCTTGAAACGTTGAACATAAACTTACCAGCAATTTCTCTTTTAGGAATCTACCCAAGACAAATGAAAATCTATTTCTGTACAAAGGCATGTAAACAAATGATAGGACACTATTCATAATAGCCAAAAATCAGGAATAGCTCAAATGTCTGTTAACTGGTGAATGAATAAAATAATTGTGGTAAATCTACACAGTGGATTATTATTCAGCAGTAAAAAGGAATAAAGTGCTGGTACATGCTACAGCACGAATAAGCCTCAGAATCATGTGAAGAGAAAAAATTCAGACACAAAAGGCCACATGTTGTATTTCTATGAAGTATGCAGAAAAGGTACATTTGCAGCACAAGAAATCAGACTGCAGGGCTGAGGTTGAGAGTGTAGCTTAACTGCAAATGGGCGCATGGGAACCGCTTGCAATGGGAGAAAGGTTCTAAAATTGGATTGGGTGGTGGTTGTCCAGCTCTGTCAATTTACAGAAAATTCCCAATTGTACATTTAAAGTAGGCAGATTTTATGGTAGGTAATTTATATCTCAAAGCTATTTTTAAATGAATTTTCTCACTGTGTGTGTGTGTGTGTGTGCACGCGCGCGCACGCCCACGCCCGCTTAAAAATTTGAGGGCTCTTCTAAATTCTGATGCAACAGGGATTGATTTGTTTACCTTGTCACATAGGTGCTCTGACTTATGAATTTAATCATCTCTATCTCATAAGAATGACAGTTTTTAAGAGAAATACCTACATACATGTCTGCCTTTGTTTCAGATCCATTCTTCCAACACCTTTTTGTGTTTCCCTTTTTTTAATAGTTTATTGTCAAGTTGGTTTCCATATAACACCCAGTGCTCATCCCACCAAGTGCCCTCCTCCATGCCCATCACTCCCTTTCCCCTGTCCCCCCTCCATCAGCCCTCAGTTTGTTCTCAGCATTCAAGAGTCTCTCACGGTTTGCCTCCCTCCCTCTCCCCAACTATTTTTCCCCTTCTCCTCCCCCATGGTCCTCCGCTAAGTTCCTCCTAAACCCACCTATACGTCCAAACATATGGTAGCTGTCCTTCTCTGCCTGACTTATTTTGCTCAGCATAACACCCTCAAGGTCCATCCATGTTGCTACAAATGGCCAGATTTCATCTTTGTGTTTCTCAGCTCCACACAAATGGTGTTTGATTTCGTCCTCAGTTTAAGTTCTAGTATTCATTCTGTCAGTGGTCCTGTCTTTGACAATGTTCTTTTCAGGGTAGTATTAACTTTTAGAAACCTCAGCATGGAACAGTCTTTATGTACTTTTAATGTCCTTTGTTAAAGCCTTTCAGGGGTACACAGTCTTATTTCTGAAATGCACCTTGGTTTTAATTATATGCTTATCTTTCCTTTGAAACTAGAATATGCTTCTCTGGGATCACTCTATGACTACATTAATAGTAACAGAAGTGAAGAGATGGACATGGATCACATTATGACCTGGGCCACTGATGTAGCCAAAGGTAATTAAGCTTCCTGTATTCTCGCAGAATTGGTGGGGCACTCTCTCATCCTGACGTGGTGACTTAAGGCAGAAGATTTGTTATTCTGTGTCTTTAGATGCTTTTTTTTCCCAGACTAACAGTACCAGGAATTCTGCAACTTTCTGTACAGATATTTTAATTGTATTTTGTATTTTAATTCAAGTATAGTTATTTAACATACAGTATTACATTCATTTCAGGTGTACAGTATAGTGATTCAACAATTCTGTACATTACTCAGTGCTCATCAGGACTAGTGCACTCCTTAATCCTCTTTACCTGTTTCACCCATCACCCCCACAGTCCCCTACAACCATCTTTTTATTCTCTATAGTTAACAGTCAGGATTTTTGGGTTGTCTCTCTCTTTTTCTTCTTTTTGTGTAGATATTTTAAGTCCCCTGCCTTTCCACTCCTGAATTCCTTTTCTCTCTTTCTTTCTTTCCCTAAAACCAAGTCCTGACAAAATCCGTGGCTCCAGGGCTGCCATTTTTGCCACATTTTGTGACATTGTAATTGAGCAGCTTGCTTGATCAACACATTAGATGGGAAGATTATAATTCTGTTGTTCTGTAGGACTCCATTTAGACTTAGTATCCAGAAGACGTGATTTATTATAGGATTAGTTCTACTCATTTTGTGTACATAATAATATGCTAAAAATAGTAACCACTTTCAAAAAAAGTTTTATTTGGCCTGCCATGTGAAAGCAATTCAGATTTTATTTTATATTTAATGTAAACTTGGAAATCACCCTTGGAAATGAAATATTTTTAATACACAAAACCCCTAAACAAGGTGCCCAGTTCTTTTTCCCTCATAAATTCCTGCATAGACTAATGCTTTCTAAGGCAGTTTAAATTCCATTTATTTTTATCTTTTCTTTTCCATTTTCCTAACCGAAGGCCTCTGAGTTTTATTTATAACTGTCAAAGTTGCTTTGGAAACAACTTAATCTAAATAATGAACACTGATAGTTACACTTGTATTCTAGCAACCCCTAAAAGCAAGCATGTCCAAATTTTACCCAAATTTTACCCAGGCAGTTCACTTCTTTGCATCTTGCTTGTCTAAGCTCTATAAGCTTCTCTTTACAAAGCAAAGAAAAGGATATTTAGCACTCGGTAAGGAGAGCAACTCATACTTTGCTTTCACTGGGAAGTCACACAGTGATTTCCAAAAGTAATAGTCTTTCCTTGGGGGAATTATCTTGTCAGTTTTAAGTTTCATCAACACCTGCCAAATTCTTCAAATAGGGAAAGTGAAAAAAAATTTTTTTTTAAATTTCATGCAAAATGCTGCTGCTGAACGGTACTTCATCACCTTATAAGAATAATAAGCTCTTTGTTTAGGATGGGGTACTTAAGGCTTTGGCTGTGTTAATTAACTTAATTGTGTATTCATGCATCAGGCATTTCAAATCAGCCTTAAATTTTGGCATCCTTCAAGATGTTTTCCTGTAACATCCTCGTCACTTCTGTATGTGTCAGTAGTGCACAGGAACCACCTGTTTGTAAGCAGGGTGGTGTGCTATTTCGGGAAACCGCCTGAAGCATTGTGGACACACACTCACATAAATGTAAATGCATATACAGGCAGTCTCTGGCTTAAAGCACTTCACCTTAAAGATATTTGCATTTAGGGTGCTCAGCCAATTACACTCATGTTATTACTTAATGGCACTTAGGATGGATACACAGCAAACAAATCAACTGACATCAGTCACTCGGCTTCCTGCTGTGCACATGCCACTTAAGCTTCTCTGGCCCTCAGCCTGTGAACCTCTTCCCTCCGGCCCTTTCCTGCATAGTCCCTGTCGGAGGGGCAAGTCCATTGGCTCCGGATCAGCTCAGTCATCCCTGGGGTTTCTCAAGACTGCTGGCTCCGAAGGACAAAGGAGAGAAAGAGCAGGGCTAATTAAGTAGTAGACTGGAGCTCCAGGGACGGAGTAGGGATGGAGGGAATGAGAGGAGATGGGGACTGCGTGCCAGACTGCAGAGTAAGGAAATCACATTTTCATGGCTGGTGAGTTGCTCTAAAAGGCAAGTTCTAATGTGTTTGGTCTCAGGTGAGAAGATTGAGGCAGAGAAGAGACTTGTTTATTTATAGTCCCAAGTAATACTTGATATTTAAAATGGCCTATAAAAGGAAGAAGAAATTCGTGCTTTCAGAATGACTTCAGTTCTGTCTGGTAAAGTTCTGCACAGAACTTGGAGATTAAAAGGAGGCCTTGATTTTTGTTGATTCCATTTCAAATTCAGCTATGTAGCTTTCAGTTTGACCATGATTGAAGACGCCAAAGCAATAAGATGTTGAGAAATCAAAGAATGAATAATTCTATTCAAATAAGAGTTGATTCATGCATTTTGAAGCAGGCATTGCTTAACGTTACTGCTGACAGAATACCTTCTCAAGCCAAAAAGCAAAAAAAAAAAAAAAAAAAAAAAAAAAAAANAAAAAAAAAAAAAAAAAAAAAAAAAAAAAAAAAAAAAAAAAAAAAAAAAAAAAAAAAAAAAAAAAAAAAAAAAAAAAAAAAAAAAAAAAAAGCCTCTCCTCGCTGAGTGGGAAGGGAAATGGAGGGCCGACCAACAAGTAGGTGTGAAACTGCTGCATGTCACTCACCAGTGTGTAAAGGGAATGATCAAAGCAGGTGAGCCTGGATCCAGTCTCATAATGGTCCTCCCTGATTCCATATCTCCCCTGATTAACACCAGTCACTTCTTCAGGAACTCCGAATCTTAAATCTATGGTGGCATTTCTCAGCCTTCTTCATTGTTCACAATAAAAGTAAGGCTGAAGTATGGATGGCTCTATAAAAACAAATTAAAGAGAATTTTATAGGATTGTGATTACTACTGTGTTTATGCACACTAAGTATCTTGCAAATGTACATGTATGTTATACACATACACAAATAATTTATAGTATTTTTTTCCTCAAAATATCTGCCATAAGGAATAAAATGCCTATATTTAAAGCTTTTATGTTGTTTTTTGAAATCATTACTTGTCAGCTGGTATAGAAACCATGTAGCCCCGCTTCTAATGGTAATTAAACAGATTCTACCTGCATTTGGTTCTTAAAGCAAGAAAGAGGTATGAAATTCAGTCCTAAAAGTTATTAAAAGTTATCCGAATGGTAGCTATTTTATTTTCAGTTTGTAGTATGTGGAATGTCATGTTAGAGGAACACTCTCCTGGATCCTAGCTCTAGCTGTTTAAGATAGCTAAAATCACTGAGACTTCTGTTAAACTTGACCCTTTTCAGGAGTATCTTTATATCACAGGAGTTTAAATTTTAAATTTTTCTTTGTTCTCGCATGACTCTTCAATATTTAATAATCAGAATGGTAGAAAAATAATAGATTATTTTAAAAATTAGCCTTTATAAAATTGAAATTTTCTGGTATACTCAAAAAAAGAACCAAAGCCTACTTATCATGTGTAAATGGATAATTCATTAACAAAAGGAGCTTGTTTGATTGTGGTGGTAGGGAAACTGTTTCTTCCATTATTTAGAAAAGACATTGCGAAGGAAAGGGAAAGGAAATACTATATTTCAATAGAAAATGTTATTTTTCTTTATTCTAAGGGGGTAGATAGTACATAAATACAGAGAAAGAGTCAAATACTACCAAGAGGATAACTGTGAAGTATATATCTTTTAAAGTCTAATTTAAAAAAATAAAATTTTTTATTCAAAATAATAAACCTGTACTTCTTACATAAACATTCAGTTTACTGGAGTAACTTGATTTACATTCTAAATATGTTGGAGAGAATTTGGCAGTGCATTTAAATATAGATTATCCCAAAGATTCATCCTTGTAAAAAGAATTAAATATTTTGTAACTACTGTAAATTTCTGTATCTGAGGATCATAAAATCGTTTATCAACCACAACCAATGAATCCACCCAGTTCTCCCCACCCATACCCCACCCCCACTCCCAGGGGCTTATTGGAGTGAGTAGTGAAAAAATAAACCAAGCTGCAAACATCCAGATGAAAACTGAAAACCTAGGTCAGAACTTTGGCTTATTTAGAAGGCAACTGGTAGTGGAATACCTTAGTCATTGGAGCACTTCTTCTGGTTATAACTGTGCTATTTTTGTGCAGACTCCAGAAAATTAAGGTTTCCTTATTAGGTATTATAAGAAGCTGGCTTTACCCACAATCAGATTCCAGCTCCTAAGAGATTAAAGCACATAAACCTTCTTTAGCATACAAATTTTCCTGATGTAGATATATCCTGTCTTGGCTAATCATGTAAGAACAGAACACATGAACTTGGTTTCTGCTGTTGAATCCTCTGCAAAAATATGAAATACTGATGTTTGAAAATAGAAAGTTAATACTGATGCAGTGTTAAAAAATGGTATTAATGGGCCTTTCTTCCTTCTTGTATGAAAAGGAATGCACTATTTACATATGGAGGCTCCTGTCAAAGTGATTCACAGAGATCTGAAGTCAAGAAATGGTAATGTAGCCATATGTTTTATTTTACCTATTTTATTATGAAATCCGTGCACCTTGCTATAGAAGTAGGCTCATGTTTTTCAGATCTTTTGTACCCTGATGTTTTAACTAATCACTGATACCATGAAAATCTTTCCAGTGTTTGTAAATACCAAAATTCTTTATTTTATCTTAAGAAGCTGCATAGTATTCCATTGTATGAATAGCACAGAATGTGGACATCTTGGGTTGTTTACATTTTTTTCTGTGATGAAAAATGTTGAGCTCGATACTTCTCAGCAAAAATTTTCAACACATCCTTAATTATTTCTCTAGAATACTTTTCTAAAAGAGGTGTTGCTGGATCAAAGCATGTAGTCCTACACTTCTAGTCTTCTATTTTTAGATGGTTCTCTGTAGTAGCAGTTTTGAGTTTTGTTCTTATTCTGAATTATTTGGTGTAAACTTTCTATGTTCATCATATTACCTGGAGTAGTGCCCAAAAATGATCAACACATTTCAGAGTTTGGAAAGCAAAGGCTTTCTTTTCTCTTCTTTTCTTCTGTACTCTCCAAAGTTTGTTTATGATCCTGTGTTTTATGATTTAAAAAGTGAGTAGGGCCATCTGGATGGTTCAGCCGGTTGAGCTTCAAGACTCTTGATTTCAAATGAGGTTATGATCCCAGGGTTGTGGGATGGAGCCCCATGTTGGGCTTTACATTGAATAAGGAGCCTGCTTGAGAGTCTCTCTCGCCTTCTGCCCCTCCCCCACTCATGCACACACACATGTTCTCTCTCTCTAAAAAATAAAAAAAGTGTAAAAAAAAAGTGAGCATTTTATTTTTTTAATGTTTTTTTTTTTTTTTTGAGAGAGAGAGAGACCGTGAGAGCGAGAGCACGAGCAGGGGAAATTGAGAGAGAGAAGGAGACACAGAATCTGAAACAGGCTCCAGGCTCTGAGCTGGCTGTCAGCACAGAGCCCGACGCAGGGCTCGAACCCACAAACTGCGAGATCATGACCTGAGCCAAAATCAGACGCTTAACCCACTGAGCCACCCAGGCACCCTGAAAGTGAGCATTTTAAAATGACTTGCAGGATTAGGTATTATTCCCTTTAAGTAGGAGAGGTAATAGAATGCTTCTTCTGTCTCCCATCCAAGTACTAACCAGGGCATGGAGGAGGGCACTTGTGGGGATGAGCACTGAGTGTTATGTGGAAACTAATTTGACAATAAACTATTTGTAAAAAAAAAAAAAAAAAAAAAAAAAAAAAGAATGCTTCTTCTGTTACATCACTTGGAAGCTAATGGATAAAGGCCGGGAGTGGGATTATTTAGTTGGCCCACACCAGCTAAAGTAAACATGAGAGGTTGTTACTAAAAACAAAAACCTTGCTATCACTTCATTTCCATGTGTTAATTATTTACATGTTTTCCGAATGATTCTTCTAAATAGGGAGGAGAACTGCTTAATTTTTAAAAATCTTTAAATCACTGTAGTTAAAATGGGTGTATCTAAGAATGCGATCCTTGCAATGGGCACTCAGAGGAAGAGATGCAGGGGATGGGCCAGACTGTGGGGGCTCCAGGACTGTGAGGTTTGTCGTGGCGGAGAAAGACAAGTTCTTGGCAGCTACCACTCATCTACTAGTCCAGGTTGGACCACAGGCTTGACCCTGGCTGTTCTTCCCTTTGTTTAGGTCACCTCTTATCCTCTTATCCTTTGGCTCCTCATAGACAAACTCCCTGGAGCTAAATGCTTTTGAGAGAAGGTGGCTAACAGGAAGTTGTTAAGAAATCATTTCACTCTAGTAGGACGTATCAGAGTCTTATGCTTGTAGATTTTTAGTTCATGCTCAGAATTTCATTCTAACAAGTTACTTGACTTCTATTTTTTTAATCTGCTTTATCAGTATGTCCTGACATCTCATCAGATGACAGTGATTAAACTTTGGATTTATCCATGACCTCATTATGAAAACTAAGTAACAACAGAGACTGTCCTGATTTTTTACCAGTCACAATTTTTGCAGTTATCTTGATGGGAAAGCAACATACACATTGCAACAATATTGACCTAACTTTTAGCAGTTTTTTCTGAAACAGGGCATAGCAAGACACTTCCATGTTATACCTTTTTAATGTTAGGTTTGTTTGTTTTTAATTAAGTGCTTGATAATGAGAAAAAAGCAAGAGAGGTATTTTAAAGAGTAACTGAATATGGTATTAACAATATATATTATTATTTGAAAAACTCATAGCTTGTATATGGTATCACATTTACCCTTAGGCTATCTCATGCAAAGAGTATTTTTCCCACTTATCAAGGTCACTAGTAACAGCTAGTAAGTATTGATCAGCTACCATGTTTAGGGTGCTGTGTGGCTTACAAAAGAAATACCAGAACAGTTCTTGAAGGTCTACCTTGGGCCTTCTTGCCTCTTATGCTCTTATTCACCCACTCCCATAAAAGTCCCATTTGTGCCTTAACGCTCCTACCAGACCTCAGCTTCAGAATCACATGTCTGTCTGCTTACTGGGAGTGGCCACACAGACCTTCATCTGACTCGAACATGTATTGTGTCCACATGGATCTTTTCATCTCCTCTCTACCCACTAAAAAATTACTGCTGCGTTCCCTTTCTCTGTGAATGGCAGTACCATTTGCCTAACCCAGAAATGAGGTGAAAAGAACAGTTTTGAGTGCAGAGCTCCTGTTCTAACCATTGTACTGTATTGCCTCTTTATTTGATTTTATCCTTGAGCCCTCCCTTCCCGCCCTGCGGTCTCATTATTCAGGCCTAGCTGATTGGGCCTCCTAAATGTTTCTTGAGTCGGTCCACTTCTCTCCTGTTCTGTGCACAGCCTTTGTACGGGCATCCTCATGTCTGTCCTGGACATGTGCATGTGCACAGCGGTCGCCGTGCCTCCCGTTCTCTTCTCTCGTATGCTCTCCCCGCCGCATGTTTGACCATTTCAGTTCTCTGGTTAAAATTGTTCAGTGGCCTTCCATTTCTCACAAAGGTTCTTCCAGACCAGGCCCCTGCCTTCCAAAGTTGCGTGCCCTTCCCTCTGCTCCTGACCTTCCACGGGGCTCTTTTTTCTACCCAAGAATGTGCTTTCCCCCTGCAGTGCCCCTCTGTCTGGTTAATCCCAGCTTGTTCTTCAGGGCTTCACGTAAGCACCATTTCTTCCAGAAATTTTTCTCCAACTTCCTTAGATACCCCTGCTCTTTGGTTCTGAGGCAGTCTCTGTATATCTCTCATCGTAGAATTTAGCCCACTGAATTATATACATTTTAAATTAAAATTTTTAATTCCAGCATAAATAACAGACGGTATATTAGCTTCAGGTGTCATCCCACTTGATTATAGATATTGGTTTCAGTGTATCTCCCATCGAAGTGTAAGCTCCATAGGAGCACAGAACGGCCAGTCTTGTTCATCTTCCTCTTCCAGAACACAGTCCATGGCCTTGCCCATAGTAGGTGCTCAGCAAAGAGCTATTCAGAATGTGTGAATAAGTGAATGAATGAGTTCTGTCCCTGCCTTCAAGAAAAGTATTCTTCATTTGAGACCATAAAATACACACCATGAAGTAATAATGCTGATGACTTCCCCAGTATCATGCTGGCAGTGTGGTGGCAGAGCCCGGGTAACAAGTTCGGCTCTGCTAACCCTAATGCATGCTGGTTTTACTGGACAGTGCGACGTTTGATGTAAACAAATGTTTTGAAAGCCTTTTTCATCAGCACCTCAAGGAATTAGATTTTTGTTCTTGTTTTAATGTCAGCTCCTTTTGGCAAAATCTTCGATGCAGTGAATACTTCAGTTTTACCTTTCATATGCCATATGGGAGATAGAAATAGAAGTTTATGGGTTTTTTTCTTCCAGTATAAGGTGACTCAGACAAATTAGATGATTATCATAATTTTTCTTTCTTTCTTTCTTTTTTTTTAGTTGTTATAGCTGCTGATGGGGTATTGAAGGTAGGACTGTTTCTTTTCATTTTCTTCAAAAGTATTTCTAAACTTCAGTTGTAGGTTTTTGTGACTGATAAATCTTTTATTAATCAGTAGTAGAAGGTTGATACTTGTTTCTCTTTTCTCAGATATGCGATTTTGGTGCCTCTCGGTTCCATAATCATACAACACACATGTCGTTGGTTGGAACTTTCCCGTGGATGGCCCCAGAAGTTATCCAAAGTCTCCCTGTGTCTGAAACTTGTGACACATATTCCTATGGTGTGGTGAGTTCATTTCTCATCTTTTGCTGCCCAAGGCAATACGAACAGCAAACACCTACAGAGAGGACACCGCATTTTAACACAGTGGCGCTGCTTCCTGCTGGAACGCCTAGAGCAGTGGCCGCAGAGAGCATGCTTTCCAGTCGCTAGGATGTTCACTGGGATCACTTTTATGCATGTGAGTTATTGTGTCCTGTGTTAAGAAGAAACCAGTGCTACTTCCGAAAAGTGAATTGGATGGACCTTAAAGTCACATGGGGCCTGATGCACTCCCGGGAAGAGTGCTTCCCTGGGCCGGACACCTGACTGTGCGATGTCTGTGTCAGTCAGTGGGGACATGGGTCATTTGGAACAGGACTTCATGGTAATAAGTTACTCAGAACACACCAATAGATCTGCCACATGAGTTCATTAACAGGAGATTTTTGAATGTCATCTATTAAGCTGATTGGTGAGTTTCTGGAGAGTATAGAAGACAAGGTACTTAGCTTTTAGTACGCGGCCTTGCCCATGCCTGCTGCAAGTCTTATATAGTGCGACTCTCTGAAACATGAATCAAAGGTACCATGTAGAAGTCACAACAGAGCAGCGCAGTTACGAGAACAGAATCATGTGGGGGTGGGGGATACTCGGGGAATGGAGACCACAGGAAAGGTTCCCCTAAGGAGCAGAAGCTTTTGGAGGAGGAGATTTGAGGTGGATCATTCTTAATGAATAAGCAGAGAGAAAGAAGGAAGTGGAATAGGGGGAACCGTGGGATGGTAGGGGGAGAAGGGAGGGTGGTTCTTTGGTAGTGCAAGGAATTCATTTGTTGCTTGTTTTTTAAGTTTATTTATTTTGAGAGAGAAAGAGAGGGTATGAGAGTGAGCAGGGGGAGGGGCAGAGAGAAAAGGAGAAAGAGAGTCTCAAGCAGACTCTGCTGTCAGCGCAGAACCCTACGTGGGGCTTGAACCCACAAACTGAGATCATGACCTGAGCTGAAGTCAGGAGTTGATCTCTCAACCAACTGTGCCACCCAGGCGTGCCCTTGTTGCCCCTTTTTAAGGTAAGTTTTTTTTTTTTTTTTTACCCCTAACAATACTGTGTATCTTTTTAAAAGTCTAAAATAGTATTTGTGACTCCTTCTCTTTGGGTCTCAGGCCCTAACTGTAGTGCCTCTATATTCATATTATTCCTCTTAAAAGGACATTTTCCTAGTAACAGGAAAAGCAGCAGACTAATCTTGGCCCAAATCAACATGCCCTCTTCTTCCCAAACTTATATGATTCAACTGCAAGTGGCAGCTGATGGCCCAAGAGGACACCAGCATTGTCAGATGTTTCCCTGTTTCTTTAGAGGCCATCAGTCTCTTCAGTATTTACTGCTGCTGGCTTCATTACCTAAGTTTTGGGCTTGTTTTCATTGGTAAGCTTCTTCTAAATTATGATATATCTTATGTACACCAAATTTATTCAACATAATAGAAATGAATTTTGTTGGCTATTGGAAAAGGCATAACAAGAATGAAATACATGTTTTTGACAAAAGGCTAGAATTTTAAAGGCTAAAAGACAACAGTTGCTTCAGGCTAAATATCTCATTTCCCTCAATTCTGGTTGTTTTCAAGAATGAAGGCGAAAGGGGCGCCCGGGTAGCTTAGTCAGTTAAGTGTCTGACTTTAGCTCAGGTCATGATATCATGGTTCATGGGTTCAGGCCCTCACATTGGGCTCTGTGCTGACAGCTCAGAGCCTAGAGCCCGCTTTGGATTCTGTGTCTCCCTCTCTCTCTCTGCCGCTCCTCTGTGTTTGCTTGCACACTTTCTCTCTCAGAAATAAACATTTAAAAAAAAAAAAAAAAAGAATGAAGGCTATAAACTATTGTAGACAGTGACCAAATAAGTCTCACTGAAAGATGAGGGAAACAAATACAAGTTCCTGAAGAGACTAGATTCTAAAATGGGTTCCCTATGTCAAAAGTTATTACATTCTGACCATCTTACAAATCATCTGCTGGCAAGTCCGAAAATGAGGGAATTTGTTGCAATTGCAAACTTTTCATGAGATCATTTTCTCTTAGGAAGTTCTGTTCCTTCATTTTTAAGCAATAATGTATTTTTATGTGTGTCAGGCACTGTGCTAGGCAGTGACGTAGGGTATTTTAAATTGTACTTCGCCTGCTTGTTGGGACCAGTGTCTCGTTCATCCCGTGGAGCAGGAGCCAGTAAACTTTTTCCTGTACAGGGCCTGATAGTAAATATTTTAGATTTTTAAGGGCCGCTTATAATTTCTATTGTGTATACTTTTGTTTTTTTACAATCTTTGACAAATATTAAACCTACTCCGCATTGTGCAGCAGGCCGTGGTTCATTCACAGACTCCTCTGTGGAGCAAGAGGGAGGAGAAGGGAAGCACCATGGTGGGAATGGGTCCTAGTGTCAGCAAGAGACACTTGCCTGGGTATATAGACATATACACACACGTCTGTGGTTATGGTGTTTAACTTAGTTGTGCACATTTATAGGAACTCGAAGACTTTTGAGGCTCATTTTGGCACTCCCCAAGCACTTGTACAGCACTTTTAAAATTCTCCCCAAGTCTGGGACTTTCCCTGTCTCAGAAATATTTGCTCTGAAAGACAGCTCTGAGTTACCTATAGAGTGAATTTTTGGTTTCGGTATTACAAAACATTTATGAAAACAAACCTCACACCACCTCCTTCCAAAACCTTACAGTTGCCAGGGGCTTTTGTGTGAAATCACACCCACTGCGTTTTCTGAGCTGAAATGGAATCTCCGTTCCAGTAACCACGAATCTGTTCATTTTCACACACAAACTATCAAAGATAGTGGTGCCTTCTGTTTGCAGTGCTTAGGTTTTTTTTCCCCTGTATCTTTTTAAATCCCTTTCACTTATTCCTCACTGACTCCCTCATGTTAAACATAGTTTGAATCAATCTTTCTGAGTCTACAAATGTTGTTTATTTTATTAAAAAGCTTTTCCGTCACGTGATTGCGCACTACTTTTTTTTTAGTAGGTGGGCCTGAACATTTCTTGTGGCGAATAAGGGTTTCTGTGTACTTGTTTACAGACCCTTCCTTTGTTTTGTTTTGAGGAATTTAACAAAGGCTTAACAGATCATTCTATCAAGTAATTTATAGCATACCTGATAGCCGGTTGCCGAACGTTTCCAGTGTTGCTCTATATTTACACACCAGATGTGCTCTATATTTACACACCAGATGCTGCACCTCAGAACCTGTGTGTCCCAGTCACATGTTTCTGAATATCAAGTCTACGTTCATGACAGAGACCTCTTGACTGGTGGAAACAAAAAATGCCTTTTTGGTGATGAATCTGTTTGTTTTAAAACATTATCTTAAAGAGAGGTTTACTCAGAACTCTGCTTATCCTCACCCATAGCTGTATCAACAGAATTCCATTCAGAAAATTGCATCTAACACTAACTTAATTATAAATGAGAATTCAAGATTTTATTTAATTCCAACTCCTTCCCATTCTGTTCTTGATAAACACCATTTAGTGAAAGAAATGGTACGAGGCATGCTTTTCAGAGCTTTTATGTTTAAGGAATCACAGGTTTTTTAAAAATGAAGAAAACATTACATGGTCAGAGTGGTTATTACCTAAGAGCAGTAGCGAATGGTTGTTAAGGGGGGAGGGGGGGGCATGTTAGTTTTAGAAGTTCGTAGTGAATAGACTTTGAAAGAGATACCTAGCTAGGAAAGCCAGGTGGTTATTTAGAACTTTTGATCTCCTTTCAAAAATGAGTAGCCAGGACCATGTGTCATTATAGTATCTCTTTGCACAAAACAGAATTCCCATAGTTCACTGAAAATCCATCCTGTTCATTGAGCCCTGACACACATACATACATAGCAGTCACATACAGGTGAGTAAAACCATAAGAAAAGAGTTGTCCTTTTTCGAAATCCACCTAAAAAAAAAAAAAACCACATTAATAGGTTTTTGCTTTTCATTTTTCTATTTTTTCAGGCTTGCTATAAGAACTTAGCCCCCAGTATCGTCCAAGTCCCTGGCCCTCTGAAGGGCAGCTTGATAAACCCATGTGGCTTCCTAGCACGTGGCAACACTACCCAGCCTGGTACAGCCTTAAAATAAATGTGCCACAAACACCTGACATGGATCTTGTGGTCCTTGCTTCTAAGCTGACAGACTTTGCTAGACAGGCGATTGTTTCTGTCTCCATTTTCCAAGAAAGGAGATTGTGCTACCCCCCTTAGGATGATTTCTGTTGAAGGAGCAGACAAGAGAAGTGTGTAGTATGTTATCTACAAAAAAAGAAAAGACTGAAGGAAAGCAAAAATCATTGAAAGAACAAGCCTTCTGAGAACGCAAGGCCTAGCCACTCTTTAAAAACAAAGCTCTCCTAATGACAGTGCAGACAGGATTAGTTTCTCAGACGCTTCTGAGCCAGAACCACTGTTTGAAAATAGAGTGGCTTAAGAGGGAGCATCAGTGCCTCACTTGTCTATGAGCCCTGTTCCAGAACAAGCCCGGCTCAGGTAATGGCTTTCCATTGTTTGTAGAAGAAAAGGCAGGAAAAGTACACAGCCTTGTCCAAGTTTCTCTGCAAGCTGAAAATAGAAAATTTTCCTTGTGAGCACAGTTTAAACGTGAGCACGTCTCAATATAGAATGAGTTGGAAAGTATTTTTAAGGGGAAAGATCACAATACTGTTTGGCCTGCATTCCCATCACTGGTATTTTCAGGCATAGTTTAATATATTTTTAGACCTCCAAATGACTTCCTCCACAGAGGACTTTTTTGTGCCAAACGTCATTGTGTTTCATGTAGAAACAGCTGTTGTCCTATATCATAGCACCAATGTTTTGATACATTCCTACACCTGGTGAATTAGTGACAGTGCATTGTGGCAGGTGCTGGTGGCGGACTTCACCTAAAGAGCCCAGCGGCTCACGGCGCCCTGTCCGTATCCCACACGTGTATGGCTGTCACGAGGACCCTCAGCTGCAAGAGCGCTTCCGAGATACAGAGAGGGGCTAGAATGAAACTCTTATGTTTCTAGTGTTAGAACTTTTGGAAGAAACACAACTCAGATCTTTGTAGATTTTGGCTATTTTCCAACTAAATATTTTGGAACAAAGAAGCACAGAGATCTTTTTCTGTATTATTTCCCAAGCTCTTGGTTTTGCATTTTACCTCATACAACCCAGTTAACCTTCACATGTGCCCCTGTGCAATGGGTTGTGCGTGCAGGCCACGCTCAGAAAATGGGGTGCAAGACTGCTTACCTGGACATTTTGGGTCTGGACCACTTGATTTATTTGAAGTTGGTTCACTGCACCCTTCTCCTGAAGAAGGCGAAATCCTTCCATTTACTTGCTATTCATATCCCTTCCCCTCTGCAACCTCAACACCAATGGAGTGGTAATGGCACTGAATGGAGGGGCTTCATTTCCTGCTTGTCCCCTTCCCCTGTGCAGGCGGGGTCCCAGGGGTGATTGCATACCTGTTCTGGTCCTCCTCAGCTTCCTTTACTTACAGTGCTTGGCAAGACTCGGCCCCTTCTGGGATGCCCCTTACCTTTTCCTAATCACTTCTGCGACTCAAATAGAATTATTCAGCAGCTCTTCTAAAGAAGTACCTTACACACTTGATTAAAAGCCCAAAGAGGCTGCAGTGAATTTTTTTTCTCCTGCTTGAGCAGCATCTGCCGATTTCCCTGATTTTCCTGCCAATTATCTTCATATTAGCTGGAGTTCATTTAACACATTCTGATTCGAATATGACTGAGCACTGGCTGAGGAAACAGTGGATATATAGAGTTAAAAGGTTTGTGGGACCTGCTTGAATAGAGTAGAGGTCCTCAGTCAACATTCTTACTTAGAGACGGCTTTTTTGTTTTTGTTTTTAGAACAAGAGAAACATAAATTAAAACCGAATTCATTTACTTCTCCTCTCTGCCATGGGTCCACACCTGCAACATGGCTTGTCACATTCTCTCTCATACTGCAGCCTTCTCTTCTCTAGGGTTGCGTCAGGTTAAGAGCTTGACCTTCAGGGCAAGGCAGCAAGTTCATATTCTGTTCTGCCCCTTGATAGCAGGGTGTCTTTGGGCAAGTTTAACTTTCTTAGGCCTTAGTTTCCTCATCTACAAGATGAGGATAATATCTATTCGATGGGATTTATGTTAATCATGGTAACACGTGTAAAGGGTTCAACAGAGCATCTGAAACATGATCGCTCAATAAGTGATAGTGGTGGTCATGATGATTACTGATAAAATTATAATTGTTTTTTGCATGTCACCAAATGTTGGTAGACTCAGATTTTGATGCTCATTTGTGTAAATGGAGAAAGTTACCTGAATATACAAGTCTCCGTTACTTAGTATTTTAAATGAAACCCAAAACATTGGCTGTTTTTAGCATTCCCAGCATCAGTTTGCTTTCTTTGGGCATTCCAGTACAGATTTATTAATCATGTTGAACTCACAGATTGCAGAGAGATGAACACACACATAAATTCATATATATACATACACGCACACACACTCATCCTATACGTATGAACATAAAGTATTTATTACATTTTAGAATATATGATAAATGATGTTATAGGTGGAAGAAAATTCCTTAGAGTGACTCATTATGAGAGAGCTTTCTCCAAAAACACAAAATTTAAATGTTACAGTTTTGCCAAGTACCTACTATTATGGGGTAAAGGGCTTAGCCAGTGATTTGGATTTAGGGCTATTTTTTTTTTTTTATCAGACCATTACTGAACCTTTAAAAATACAGTTGAATTCCCAGTTATTGTCTTATGGAGAAATTTATCGGCAGTTGAAGGTGGAAAGAGTTTGACTAACAAAATATAAAATCTGATTTGTGGGAATCTGTAAGAATTCTCGTAACTTACAAGATAAATTATGTAGGCCCATTGGTTTCATAAAATTTTAAGTCTGGCTCTAAATGTTCTGATTTCTAAACTAGCTTTTTTCTTTATAAAAATGAATTAAAAATGTGTGTATATGTGTATATATAAAAGCATATATATATATATATTGTTTGTGTGTGTGTGTATATGAATATATATGTTTTGTGCAAGTTTCTACAGGTGGAGTTGGTTTTTGCCTGGTAATTGGATACAGTTAAATGTTAGATAAAGTTTCAGTAATACACCAAAAATATAAAGTACAAGAATAAAAATTCCATTTTCTTTTTGTTCCAGGTTCTCTGGGAGATGCTAACAAGGGAGGTCCCCTTTAAAGGTTTGGAAGGATTACAAGTAGCTTGGCTTGTAGTGGAAAAAAACGAGGTAAGACTACGATTCTCCATTCAGGTACATAGATCAGAAAACAGTATTGGGGTTTTGCAAAAGACTTTTTCATCTTCTTCAAATTGAAAGTAAGTTCACGCTTATGGAAAGATTAGCAGTAGGAGCTAACACAAAGGGTCAAAGTGATGTTATTCCTCATGAATGGACCCTTTACATCTAATTGTTGCAGCTTCACGTCGTGATGCTGTAGATCAAAAATTGTACAAGTACTGTACTAGTTTCTCAGTCTCAATTGTAAAACCTGGGGGTTTGTTCTTAGTGATGAAAGAAGCCATTGCGTCCAAGGTAGGGGAACAGTTTAACTCCATCTCCTGCGTTTAGGACATCTTTTTTACTGGCCGGGAGTTGATATATCTGTAAGAGACCTTCAGCTACTTCAACTTACCTCTCCCAGCAGGAGTCACTATAGTACAAGAAACTGTCGCTTAGATGAGAATTTCAAAAATAAAAGAAGAAAAAATAGTTTCAAAAAAGGGAAAAATTACAGTTTTGCCACCTACGTTGAACACTACATTGAAGATGAGCTCCTCACTGGAATTGGCGAGGCAGTGGCATAACTGTTCCCTTCTTCATGCAGAGCCTTTCCATTTCAAAAGAACTTCAGTGGCGTAAACACCGTTTGTGCTGTGTCCCCAGCCTCGCTTTTCTTCTTCCCACAAATTGAGGCTTTCAGTTAGTTGGACCTATGAGCCTACATCAGAGAACGTGGTACATTCATATCAAAGAGAGCAACTACATTTTGAAAGGTTTAAAATTGTGACTGAAATGCACAGGCATGGAAATCCTCAGCATAAGGATGAAGCGTCCAATATCAAGGTACTAGGAGAACTTAGATCAAGTAATGGAAGCATGCAGTTGTCTTTGCAATGCAAAACCACCTTATTTCACAAACCTTCATTCCCAGACCTTATCTGTGCCCTTCACAGAAGGTAAGAGTGTACTCTTAGGGTAAAATAATTTGCAAAAAGGTGACTGTATAGAGATATTCCCTTTTTAATGCTTTAAAAGAATTGGATTGATTTGCTCCCCATGTGAGTGCAGGAACAGACTAGATTAACCAAAAAGCTGCTATTGACGAAGAGAAACCAAGTTTCCATAGTTTAGATCACATAACCCAGCTACCTTATTAATTTGTCTTCCTGAGCTATTGAGAACAGATGAAATGTTCATGATAGCTGAACTTGACGAGAGAGAGCTGCCAATTTAAGAAAAAGGAAAAGGAGTTATATTCAAGAACGTGTCTTGCTCAGCATTTCACAGGAGCTGTTCTGTTTTAATTAAATGTCATGGTTATTCCTGGTGTGCTATTAAATCAGACCTCGTACATAGAATAACTGATATTTTCATGATAGGAGAACCCATTTGTCTCTGTTCTGTTTCTTTTGCCAGTGAGGTGATTAGATGTTTGGTTCTGGGGTTGCAAATGAGAGTGAAGAAAATTATTGACCCGATGTTGACTTTGGAGCAGAACACTCAATGTAATTTATTTCCCTCTACGTGGTTCCAAGATAAACTAGAATTAAGTTTTTTAAAAGCCAACTGGGCCCTCTAAATATATAAGAAAAACTAATTAATATTTAAAAATAGTATTTCATCTAAAGGATGGCAGAAGAGGTATGAATCTGAAGCACTTTTTAAAACATTGGAATCTCCATCAAGGATTATTAAAGCTGATGAGAAAAATGGATTTAGAAACTGCCTTTGGATAGCTGGCCTGAGGGCTGAGAGCCGCCCATAATCTTCACAGTCTCCCCAACATGTACAGAAGGAGGCTATCTCCCCCCTTTCCCTGAGGGACTCCCTAGAGTAGACTGCACTGTTTTATCCATGGTGTGACACGATGCCAGCTAATAACGGGTGGAGACTCCTCAGATCCCTCCCATTCTATACATAGAACAGCAAGTGGAAAGAACCCCCATACGCCGAGACAAGTTTTCTCAACTTTCCACTAAACTTAAGGAAAATTGGGTATTAGGAGGATCTGTCTACTCTAATCCTACATATTTGTCAAAACTACGGAAGTTCAGCTGTAATTTCCATTGTCCTCATTCATGAAGGAGTCTTCATTTCATCTCATAAACGTAGACACTTATCACCAAAACTGATTCTATTGACATAACATTAAAAATAATTGCCAGTTCTCAACTGTAGAGAGCACGCTGAGGGTTGCTGGAGGAGAGGATGGGCCACACAGGTGATGGATATTAAGGAGGCCGCTTCTTGTGATGAGCACCAGGTGTTCTATGTAAGTGCTGAATCACTAAATCCTACCTGAAACTAATAGTATGCTATACGTTAACTACCTGGATGGGATTTAAATAAAAACTTTAGAAAATTTTGCTAAGGATTTATTTCATTTCATATTAAAATTGAGACTTTGATTTAAATATAATTTCCAAAATCCTTTCAACTTCTCATTATTTGATTTCATTTATTTTTAGTTTGGAATACCTTGGGTACTTGAAAAGAGCAAGTTGTATTTTTTTTTTTAACAGGCCTCATTTAAGTAAAGAATGATGTGTTGGGGCGCCTGGGTGGCTCAGTCAGTTAAGTGTCCAGCTTTGGCTCAGGTCATGATCTCATGGTTCGTGGGTTCGAGCCCCGCATTGGGCTCTGTGCTGACAGCTCAGAGCCTGGAGCCTGCTTGGGATTCTGTGTCTCATTCGCTCTCTGCCCCTCCCCCACTTGTGCTCTGCCTCTCTCTGTCTCTCAGAAGTAAATAAATGTAAAAAAAAATTTTTTTTTAAGAATGATGTGTTTATACTTAAGGAGGCACTTAAGATGTAAGCCACTCACCCTAGAATGCACCTATATCCAAATATTAGAGTTGCCTTTTCTAACTTTTTTATGTTGAAATCATAGACTCACAGTAAGAATTAGAAGGCATTCTGTGTATCCTTCACCCAGCTTCCCCCTCTGGTGAGATACAGGCGTAGGCTCGTGCCCAAACCAGAAAGTTGACGTTGATACTTTACTCTTAATTAGATTCTAGACCATATTTAGTTTTACCATTTAGGACTGCTTTTTGGATCTGTAGAAAGAATACTTTCTAAAAATATCTGAAGGTCTTTGTTTCTAAGTGCTGAATAACAAAATAAGGCCTTCAAACAATTTTTCCTAATATTAAATCCTATTAAAACTAGAAACATAAAACACTGTTAAAGCAAACAGTGAATCTTTACAGAAGTCCTGAAATTAGGAGGGCCTTGCTAATAAATTTTGTAATTCTTATAGACATGTATGTTTGCCTTTGTTATTTCCATAAAACTCAATTAGTGGTCATTCAGAATATTCTGGCAGCATAATTTCTACCTTTACAGTAAATAAGTACTTAGATTCTCATATAAAATGTGTTTTGTTCTAAGTAGCAAAACTACTATTCTTAATAGAAATCCTCAAAAGGCTTAATCCATTGTTGACTGTATTTTAGAAAAAGATTTTTAAAAAATTGAGAGTAATTTTTTGCATCTTATGTAGAAAATGGTGCACAAAAGAATATTATCTTTAAAAAATGTCATTCCTTAGTATTTGGGAAATATTTTAATCTTAAATTGGAAATTTTTGAGGTCTTTTAAGTTTTACAGTGTTGCAAATCTGTTGCTAATATTCTGGTCATTTCAGGATGTTTTAATGCAGTAGGAATACCCACAGTTTGGTGTCAGGACTTAAATACTTTGGATTCTCTTTTAGACTACTTTATATTTTTATTTTTAAAGTGCTTTTTAATGCCCCAAAACAACCCCTTACATTAGCGTCTGAGTTTGAATTTGATATTTGACCATATCAGATAACTTATGTCTTCTTTCATAATGTCTCAGATGCAGGAGCTAAAAAGTTTTTCAGTGAAAAAAGACGACAGAAAAGATTAACATCCATATTCGTACAGGTCACATTTCTGTTCTTAGAAAAATGTGAGAAAATTATATTGAAAATGTTACCTTTTATGAGAAATTATTTTGCCATGGAGTAGATTCAGCTGGATAATTGCAGTCACTTTCTGTTTTCCTTAGTTGCCACTCTCAACCCGCCATCTTATATATATATATTTTTTTCAAGTAAACACCCGATTTTCCTTTTGATCTTCATCAAAAGATTTCCAGTAAAATAGGAATACAGTTTACTATATACTGCAGTGAAATAAGAGTACGTGTTATTATACTCTCTGTTTTGTGTAATCAGTTATTAAAAATGTTTAGCATAGCTTTAACTTGGAGAGGGTTGTTTAAAACTTTAAGGTTTTATTTTGGTTTATTTTTATTTTAAGGTTATCTGTAATTCAAAATATAGACCATCTGTTTTCGTGTCAGGACAACTTTTTCTACTTTTATACACAGCCTCCCCCAAATCCAAATGAATTCAGTTTAAGTTTTTTATTTGCAAAACCCCTTAAGTAAACAATACTTGGAGTAAATCTTGGTACTTCTTAGTGCAGCGGTTCTCAACTCACACGCAGGGCTCTTTTGATAACAACCCTGTTAATGCTGTCTCTACTTTCCTGAAATGAAATTCAGAGGTAGTGCAGCTACCCATTATACACATCATATTTTAAAGTTAACATAATGCTCTAATTGTAACAAATTCATGACAAATGTATTGCAGTGTATAAATGCACAAGCATGGCCACAGCAGAGGGGCGAGTGGAACAATTTTAGTGCTTGTCCCTACTGGTAAGTAGGATACAACAGCTACACATTCGGAATCGAGCTGAACTGTATCAGTGATTCCAGCAGCTTGAGCGCTGCTGTTGTAGGTGACATTTTCCAAAAATCTCGGGAAGGTTATGAGTACTGCAAAGATCAATCTGCCCTTGATTTGTCTTATTCAGTAGGTGCATTCTTAGTTCATTGGGTTTTAAAACTGCTCAAAAAATACTTTGTGTTTGCTTATAAATCCAAGAGAGAGTCTAGGGTCAGAAAATGATAAACCTTGTTTGCACCTGGGGCATCTGGAGTTTGGTGGAGCACAAGGGAGCACTTAATCAGGGATTTACAGCACAGTGAAGGATGTCTAGCATTCTTGACCCACAACAGGTGCCGCCCTCCGATCTTTAAAACAAACAGAAATGCCTCTGCAGATCTTGAGAGAGCCTCCAGGAACATGGCAAGTTCTAGAGAACCACTTGTGTAAAAGGTTGGGACAGGACTGATCCTCACATGATCATCTTTGTTGTATCCAATCCCTGCGCTTTACCCATAAGGAGTCCTAACATTCAGAATATCTTCTTTGCTGATGAGGAAAGGCGCACTTCTTTAAAATTCTCTCCTTGACGGCCTCTACAGAAGATGCGTTCAGGGTTGGACGCCTCCTGCCGGAGCTGAGCTGGTTTTCTGGCTGCCTGACGCGTCTGCAGGTTTCATAGTTACCTGAGAAAGGACGGTGATAGATTTGTGGTTTTACAGTGCAGATTTCTGCTCCTCCCTATTACAGTTACCTTTAGACTTGAGTCTCGGTTTTGTTGCCTTTGTTGTGCTGAACCCAACTTCTCCATCCCCTTGGATACCATTTTGGAAGAAAAGTAGCCCAAGTGTCTGTAGAGATTAGATATTAGGAATCTAAACATAAATTCTCACCTGCCATGTATCAGTCAATGGAAGTTTTAAATTTAATGACTAATTTGTGTTCTTAAATTAACTCTTATGACCTTGCAGCATTTGCTTACCTTAACGAGTCAATCCTTGTGTTGTTTTTCCTTTCTCTGTGGTAGAGGTTGACCATTCCAAGCAGCTGCCCCAGAAGTTTTGCTGAGCTGTTACGTCAGTGTTGGGAAGCTGATGCCAAGGTATATATAAATATTCTTTTGGTCGTCACTCAGAATTCTGAAATTTCACTTGTTTGCTTGTCTTTGAGTTTTTAAAACGTGGGGTAATAAGACTCATCACAAAGCAAGGCCGGATTGCTGCTTCTGTGAGTCCTGGGTGGACTGTTAAGGCTTTCCGTTGATACCTGCTCCTCTTGATCCTTAGAAACTCATTCCTGGCTCTTTCTGACAGCATTCTGGCACTCTTGGCTCAATGGAAAGAATTGCATTCCTTTGTTTTTAACCTTTAATAATAAGTATTGCACTTTCATGTGATAAAAATGGCTAGCACACAGGGCTCATTGTCTGCCCGGCACTGCTCCGAGCACTTTATGTACATTCACTCATTTGTTCCTCTGAATGCCTTTATGAAATAGGTTGTGTTATTACCCTCGTTTTACAGGTGAGTTGTTCAGGCACACAGAAGGTAAGTAATGCTTCAGGCCACAGGTTAGTACATGGTGAGACTGGAGAGTGAACCCAAGCAGTCTGAACCAATGGCCAGGCAAAAGTAGCACTTCTAGGGAAACGTGGTATGTTCTCCTTGTCCAGATTTCATGATGTTTTTTAAGTTGTCACAATACAGTTGGAGACATTCCAAAATGTAGACTTTCATGTGGTTATCACATTTGAGCATAAAGGCCCATTTCCTTTCCCTGCAAAGATCTTTTTAAAAGACTCTCACATACATACGGAAATATTTATAGATAAAATGATAGGCGAGTCTTGGGTTTGCTTCAAAATAAAGTGAAAGGAAATAGATTGCAATGTAGATTAAACAAGACTGGCCATGATAATTTTTGAAGCCGAGTGATAGGTATATGGAAGTTTGTTACATTGTTCTCTCTGCATTTGTATATGTTTGTAATTTTTCATACTAAAATGTTAGAAAGTAAAAAAAGATCCTCACAGATCAAACAATGAAGAGATAGACTCAAGAAAGGAACTCATTTTATAGTTCAAACGTGTCCACTTTTTCATTGAAATCTACTGCAAACTGACTTTTTAAACAGAGATCTAAAAACAAAGACTTAAGAATGGAATTTCTTCCTTAATTTAAACTCCGTTCCAGTCTGGCCCGCAGGAAGAACACACAGTCTGTTCTGTAGCGTGTTTCTCTAGTGCGAACAATGCCCAAACCACTGCTAAGTCTGAGGACCATGATCACGTAGCACAGACTTCATGCTGAGTCATACTTGTTACCTAGCCCGTCACCCCACACCATCACACCATCAGGTCAGAACAGCGTGACACCGACTACAGTTTGCACAGCGGCGCAACCAGCTGGGCAGCAAGGGACACGAACGTGTGAGGCGCCTCTGCTCACATGCTGCCGGGCTGGGCTGCCGCGCTCTGTCGCTGAGGAGTTTGTGGTTGGGTCTTCCCAGACTTGTGCCTGTCCCCTCTGCCCTGGTAACCACCAACTTCAATGTTCTCTTTCACTCCTGTTCATCAAACCACCTTCACCCCTTTTAAAAGGAGAATCTTGGTATTGTTTTTTATTAAAGAACATTTAAAAAATTCCATTTTTATTAGTATGATAGTTTTTAGTACGATTGTTTTTATTAGTATTCTGTGACAAAGTTGCATAGGTTTAAAATGGTCTGCCCTGCCTCTGTTTGCAGAATATGGGGTTTTGGAGCACTAAGAGGAATGCCTGCACTTTGCAGCTAATCCAGTAGAAAACATAAGCAGCTATTTCCAAGTTCACTCTAGAACATATATATTTTTAATGCTATCATACTACCTTTTCCACACTCTACCAGTTACATGTCCATTGTGGCATATATAGTCATTTTGGCAGTATTTTTCTCTGATACTTAAATAAAAATTTTACTTGAAATTATTTGCATTGAATTAGATTGATGCAACTAGATCTCTATAATTGCAGTTATATTTCAGTATGCAAAGCAGGTTTTGAATCTCTTAATCGAAAGCTCTGTATTTCAGTAATTAAAACTTTAAGAATACACATTTTGGTGCACTAATGAAAGGATAGTGTAAACACCTAATACAGGAAGGACATCCGGCCTGGTGTTGATGCCATCGAATTGGCATGTCTTTAACACGTAGACAGCTTACCCTTCTTTAGAAGGAGAGGAGTCTTGTGTTCTAGCCAGGTGAAGTATAAAGCTTCAGACTGATTTTTATTTCCTAAATTCAAGGCATTTTATTCTGAGACAACTAATACATTCCCCTCTATTTCAGTACACACACAGCTGTGGCCCACGCGTCCAGCTCTCGGGGCTCATCTCCAGCCACAGCTTCCACACCGCCCTCCCCTTTCCTTTCCTCCCCGCATTACTTCATCAAGCCCTCCCTGCCTCTTCTGTTTACCGCAGCCCATACTTAGTACTCCTTTTCCTAAACCACAGTCTGGGCTAAGGCCTTACCTTATGCTGATGTATTTTAAAGTATCTTTTCTTTCTAAATGGACTGCAGTCTCTCTGAGGGCACAGTGCTACCTTTGGCACCTTCCACACATTTAGTAAGTAGGTGCCCAATGTCTTAACTAAAGTAGCCAGACCAAGGCACATTTTAGTTCTCTGGCCAGAAGTGTGTAGCAATTTAGCCAGAAGTTAATGTCACTACTATGCACATATATAGAGCCATAACTGGTTATAAACCTTTCCTTTTTTTCCCCAGCCCTTATGCTTTAAAGACCTAGATTAAAATATTCAGCTCACCTGTAGAAAAATGTTCTTTTGCAATGAGGAGGGGGAAGGGGATACAAGAGAAAGCTGGTACTAGGTAAATGTCAAGTCATGCCAATGGCTTACACCAGGTGCTCAAAGTAGTTTATCAAAGAAAAAGAAGGTGGGCAGTTTCCAGTTCTAAACTGACATTTCTAAATAAGAAAAGAATAGCCCTGAGTTTGATAGGAAGTAGTATCTTATTCTTGTGTGATAAAACATATTGAAAGGTTTAAGACCCTTGCCCCCGATTTAATAACTTGCTTCCTGTGTGACACATACTTTTCTGAGACAGATTTTCCTTATCTATAAAATGAAGATAACAAATAATGTATATAGATGCTTAACAAATGGCCCTAGGTGTAATTTTTTAAATGTAAACAAAACCTGCGTGAATACTAACGGGACCTAAACCTGGACTAAATACTGTATTCTGCAACCAGAATATCCATAAACTATCATTACCACAAATTTCTACATTATTGCTTTTTTAAACATTCACTTTGATAATTTCTAATCTCTATATCTAATATATCTAATCTCTAATGTATACACTAATCTAAGTGTATAGGCTACCTATAAAATTAAGGTTTTTTGATGGATACTTGTCACCTAATTACAAAAGAGTTTTACTTTATTTCAAGAATGATTAAATGTAGGGAAAAATATTCTTTAAAAATTCATTAGCCTCTCTTGCTGCTTTTGCATGCAAAATGGAAATCTTGTATTATATAGTTAGTTCCTGTGCAAACAATTAAAACATTTTTCCTTTTACAGCCTGACAAATGGTAAGAGAAATTAAAACAGGAATAAAGTTAAAAGAAGACAGTATTTTTCAAATTTCCTACTTAAGGCATTCTCTCCGTTGCTTATTACAAGGCTTAGTGTGTATCAGTGACACTCAGCTACTTAGGCCCTCTTCTTACACACGCACACAGGCACACGTGCCCTTAAAATAGTACAATGAAGGCAGAATTCAGAATGAATAGCCCAGTTTTATATTCCTGAGAAGTGGAAAAAATTGTCTTTCTTAAGGTAGGAAGCACTCAAGTCCTAAGAACAAGCTACCTCAACGTTGTTCCTTCTTGTTTTTGTGCTCCTAAATTAAAATGCATGTTTTAATTGCTGCAACTGTAATTTGCTCAGAAATGGTATAATTATGAGGCATGATGAAGACAGAACGTGCATCATCCTTTTATTATCTTTCTCCATTTTTGTTTTAACCTTTTGTCTCAGCCTTGGCTACAGTTTAAAGCAGCAGACAAGTGCGGTTACTGCTAGCTAAAGAAATTTCACTAGTAAACTGTCTTAGAGCTTCCTACTTCCAAAACTAGTCATGATGTGGAGTAAACACTGTAGACAATGGAGCTCTAATGACTTTAAAATTGGGGACTTTTTCTCTGAGCAAGTGGTTGAGGAAATTTTAGTAGTTCTAACAGAGTAGGTAGATTCTCCCCCAACACTTAAGAATTTTCAAACATACAGAAAAGTTGATTGAATTTTATGGTGAACACCAGTAGACCTGTCACCGAGACTCCACCATTAACTTTTAGTAAACTTGCTGAATTGCATACCTTTTTTTCTCTTCCTTAGTTTACTGTCAAGTTGGTTTCCATATAACACCCAGTGCTCATCCCAACAAGTGCCTTCCTCCATGCCCATCACCCCCCTTCTCCTCCCCCCCACCAGCCCTCAGTTCTCAGCATTCAAGAGTCTCTCATGGTTTGCCTCCTTACTTCTCCCCAACTATTTTTCCCCTTCATCTCCTGCATCATCCTCCGTTAACTTCCTCCCAATCCATCTATATGTGCAAACATTGAATCACATACATTTTTAAAGGATTTAGCTTTTCTCTTTTAGGTCTCCTTAATCCTACCCAAAAGAGAATTAGTACTTTCCTTACCTGGAGAAAAACTGTAATTATTCCAGCCTTAGACCACACGATAGAAAAACGACACCCAAGTCTATTCTTACAATTTATTGAAAATAAGGAATATGGTTCCCTTAAACCTGAGCAGTCAGACCGTTAGGATGACTAAGTCAGGACATGGCGTGCTCTTTTGTTACAGTACACCGAGCTTATTTCTGTGTTTGTGGATTTTCTCTTAAAGACCTGCTTTTGTAAGTCTCAACAAGTTTATTATTTTCTCTTCTTCAGAAACGGCCATCTTTCAAGCAAATCATTTCAATTCTGGAGTCCATGTCAAATGATACTAGCCTTCCCGACCAGTGTAACTCATTCCTGCACAACAAGGCGGAGTGGAGGTAGGTAAGCCTTGTACCAAGTCTTGGCCTCTGGCTTTAAAAGACCAGGGCCAGCTCCTGTGAAGAGAACCAATGAACTTGATCATGGTCTAGAGTTTTTTTTTTTTTATGTTAAAATTTTTTGGAGATCTAGTAAGTCCTCCATTGCATATGTCCAAGTATTTGGAAAGACTATTGAAATCATATCTTCTGAGACTGAAGACAGTTACCAGACATTTCTTTCTACTATACATTCTGTGTTAGGAAGTCTCAGCATCTGTGCGGTGGAAAATAAAAATACTGTTTGCCTCGGAATTTGCAGAGTACTGTATCTGTTGATGGAGGAGGTGGGAGACTATAAAAACACTTTTAAAACTTTTGATGTTATGAATCCTACTAAATTTTGTCAAGTGTAAAACAGACTTAATGAGAGAATTGTAATGAGTGAGTGGAAGAAGCAAGCCCGGGATGAGACAGTTGAGCCAGGTCACGTGCTGCAGTTATATAAATAGCATGTTTGGGAGCTGACATTCCTCCCTGACTCAGCAGAGATTTAAGTAACTTGTCTCTGCTCCTGATAGCCATGGCGGTAACGTGACGCCTTACGCCACCTGCTGATGCTCAGTGCATACTGCATGCACCTTGGAAACATGGAGTTGTTCACTCGTATTATTAGACATTTCCTTGGGCTTTCTGAATGATTGTGTCTTACAGTAACTTTATTTATTTTTATTCTTTTGAAATCTCTATCGGAGGCCAGTGAGTTAAATGAATTTTTATTTAGGGAAACAAAAGTCTTACTCTCTGCCCGAATGTAGGTATGAGGGGCTTTGTTCTGGACTTAAATAATTTTAACAAAACATGTAAGTAACACTTGTGTCCTACAGTAAGAGATCAGCACAAATCTAATCAGATCACTCCTGTTTCAAATCCATGTAAGGGATTACTCTAGTATAAAAGTCAACCCTGCACGAGACTCAAGAGACCTTATGCACTCTGTCAGCAGCCTTACCGTAAGAGCATAGTTCTGCCTCTTAATTTCTGGTTTTTGGTCCCTCAACAGATGCATACTTCTTCCTTGTTCAGAGTCCTTGCAAATGCAGTTTCTTCTGTATAAAACTCATCCCTTTCAGCAGCATACCACCTGACACCCACATCCAGCTTGGGTGAATAATGTGGACTTAAGGAAGTGTTTCTGACCCTAGGTCACATGAGGTTCTAGAGCATCTCCTTTAGGCCCTCTGCTGCTATTGGAATTAATAAGTAATTCTGTAATTTGCTGTTATTATCTGTAGCTCACTGGCTGAAATGTAAAAGGATCATATAATCTCTTGTTTATTACTATACCTACAGCATCTAGAATGGGCCTTGAACACAGCAGTTGCTCAGTATCTGGGGAAGGAAACACCATGGTGGCAGTAATAGTAAAAGACATTACAATATTCCACAAGAGAATATAAATATGTAAGCTAACTTACTGACAGGTGTGTTCCTCACATTCATTCATTTGGATACTCCTGGAACGTCTGCTGGGCAGGGCGCTCTTGTATTACACTGTGGTGATGAGCAGACCAGCCCCAGTGCACACGGATCAGAGGGTCTAGCGTCAAACTACTAACCATAGATACACAAGCCACTTTTTATTACTACTTTGATCAGTGCTATGACAGAGAAATACTGAACATCTGAGATTCTGCGGCCATGAAATCTAGTCTGATGAAATAATAAAAGGATTTCTGAGGAGATACATTTGTTATCCAAAAGATTAGTGGGATTTAAAAATTACTGTTAATACCCTTGAGATATATGGTATTAAAACTATGCCAATGATCAGAAAATGGGGGGGGGGTGAGTTGGTAAATCTTCAATATGAAAACGTAAACCCTCCTTTTGGCAAAAGTAATACCCACCATAAACTTCCAGGACAAATGCCATACTGCCCTAACTTCTTTCCCCCAAACAGTGGCTCAGCAGTTCCACAAGTTTTTGGTCTCAGAACCCCATTACACTCTGAAAAATTATTGAGGATTACAAAGAGCTTCAGTTGCAGTGAATCTGTCAATATTTACCACATTCAGAATTAGAACTGAGAAAAAATTTAAGTATTTAGCTGTTGATTCATTGAAGCAACAATAAATGCTGCCTCTACACTCAGCCTGCGGCATTGGCACATAGCGTGAAGCCTCTGGAAGGGTCTGTGCACTTGTGAGAGAATGAGAAGAAAAGAGGCACGTCATGTCTTAATGTTGTTCTGAAAACCACTTTAATCTCTTCAGTCCTTTGAAAAGCTCCCACAGGTCCCCAGATCACACTTGGAAGACTGTGGTGGTAGACAGAGTTACTGCCTTTAAAATCACATTTTAATTATATCATTCTAAAGGACATGAAAGGCATTTCACAAAAGGAGAACTCAAGTGGCCAATAAACACATGAAAAATACGTAACCTCACATACCCATCAAGTAACTCTAAGGGAACAGAATTCATTTATCAGATTGGCAAAAATCTACATTATGAAAATATCCAGCATTATAAACTTTCTAGTGCAGTGCTGGTGAAACTACTACCTTTTGGAAGACAGCCTGGCGGTACAGATCAGACCCTGCCACCACCACCACTTCGTTCCTGAGGAAATGAAAGGCTGTACGGGATGTATGGACACCTGCTTATCGCAGCATCACTCAGCGTTGTAAACTAGAAAGGGCATAAAGTGCAGTAGAAGATTTTTGGCTTTTTGTGATTTTCATGGTTTTAAAAACTGATGCTATTTCCATATACAGACTAGATGGAGCCATTCATGATAATACAGATCTGACAAATGAATTACAAATAGAGGCTCTGGTCCGGTATGATTAGAATGACACCATTTTTTTGCACTGTAAATATGTGTCTATGGTGTGTGTACATAAAAGTATCAAAAGGTCGGTGTCATCCCTGGATAATTAAATTATGGGAGAGTGTTTTGTATTTGGGTATCTTTATTTTCTACAAACCTGGATGGCTGAATAATAAGTTTTTAAAAAATGTTTGAAGATGAAAAGATGAAGGAAATACCACTGGTACTACATTAAGGTGTCTTAGTAAAAAGCAGACGGTTGCCTGGCTGGCTGCCTCCCTGACTCTTTGAGGAACTAGTTGCTCCTGAGAGCTGGCAAGAGAATAGGTTTCTTTACCTGAATCCTTAAACCAGTCTGAGAAGTAGCAGGGCTGTTATAACTGAACTTGGCAATTGCTTAAAAACATAGGGAATATTAGAATGACAACACACACAACTGTCATTTATTATATTCTCACAAGACGCTCATACTGTATCTGGATACTCTTTTTTAACCCACATGGCAATCCTAACTTCTGACCTAGATGCGAAATTGGGTGCATGGACAGGTTGGGTCGCCTGCCCAAGATCACACTCAGGCCAGTACCGTAGCCCACGTGGTCTGGTCCCACTGGCCTGCTGTGTGTGGCACATGCTCTGTGCAGTGCTGCTCCCGGACCCCCGCCAGGGCCATACCCTCCGGTTGTGAGCAGCAGACTTCACTTGATTCCTTTGAGCAAAGAGAAACAGGAGAGTGTGATTGTTCTAGGTTATGATTAAGGCAAAAACATCTATCCCACTCTGTGCCACATATGAAAAGAATCAAATACTTTGTCACATCATCTGGATATTTCAAAGGACAACACATTCAGGCTGTTCTCTTTCCCCCAACTTTTGTGTCTGAAACCACATGACCAGGGTTGAAAGCATGTGTAGGAAATCTGGGGTTTCTGGCAGATGCTTGTCTTGTGGTAGAGCTTCCTTACACATAGACCAAATGAAACATCCTGTTGTAGAAAATTAAATGATTATTCTTACAATTATTTTTATTATTTTATTTTTTAGTTTTGTTTTTTGAGAGAGAGAGTGGGGGAGGGGCAGAGAGAGAGGGAGAGAAAGACTCTTAGGCAAGATCCACACCCAGCATGGAGACTGTGAGATCATGACCTGGGCCAAAATCAGGAGTTGAACACTTAACCAAATGAGCTACCCCACTGTCCCTTAAACTTCTTAAAACGAGGTTATTAAAAACTATATAAACTATATTCTTTCCAAGGCGCCTGGGTGGCTCAGTCAGTTAAGCATCTGACTTCAGCTCAGGTCATGATCGCACAGTTCGTGGGTTCGAGTCCCACGCTGGGCTCTGTGCTGACAGCTTTAGATTCTGTCTCTCCTCCTCTCTCTGCCTCCCAAAAATGAAGAAACATTAAAATAAATTTGTTTAAATAAATTATGGTCTTTCCTTTGACCTAATAGATGATAGGAAAGAAATCTACAGTCAGACATTTCCTTGTTCATCCTATCTTCAGCTTGTTTCTCCTGTTGTTAATTTACTAGCAGTAACAGCCATGAGCATTAATAACAGGACATGCATCACTGTGTTGCTCATGTTTGTAGTTTTCATTGCCCCATGTAACTGTCTACAGACTTATGGTAATCGGCACTGAGTGAGCTGTGTGGCACTGTGAGGCGTGTTCAGATCTATGTCTCTTGGCAGAATACTTAGCTGGTTGTATTCCTCTCTCTGGTGATCAGAATACTCTTGCCGTGGCACGCCTTGTTAAAAGCAAAAAAACGGGTGGCTGGGTGGCTCAGTCGGTTAAGCGTCCGACTTCAGCTCAGGTCATGATCTCACGGTTTGTGAGCTCAAGCCCCATATTGGGCTCTGTGCTGACAGCTCTGATCCTGGAGCCTGTTTCAGATTCTGTGTCTCCCTCTCTCTCTGCCCCTGCCCCTTGCCTGCTCGCTCGCTCTCAAAAATAAACATTAAAATAAAAACAAAAAGCAGGGGCATCTGGGTAGTTCAGTGTGTTAGGCATCTAACTCGGTTTTAGCTCAGGTCATGATCTCATGGCTTCAAGCCCCAAATCAGGCTCTATCTCTCTGCCCATCCCCTGTTAGTGCTCTCTCTCTCTCTCTCAAAAATAAAAACATTAAAAAATAAAAACAAAAAACAGATAAATTTAATCTTTGTGATCTGGATATTAACACAAATCATTTAATATATAACACTAATATTTAATAATATATAACACTAATAATATTGTCTATCATCATATACATAATATGGCTGCTTCTACAAATTGACTTTGAAAAGATAATTACATTTCATTGCCAGTTTTTGGCATATGGAAAATTGATACTAGTGGAAGTCAACCTTAGTTGGATTTGGGTTAAGAGGAAAACCATCATTTTCATCACCTAAAACACTTAAACTTTTTCAAACGCTTATGTTTAGAGAATAGGAAGGTTATACAGGTGCATCAGCAGATGCATTTGATGCAAAACACCCCATTACCAACACGGGGAGCAGCATGGGGAGTGGGGTCACTATGCCACCCTCCTGTGTGGGTGGCATCCTTAATGGCACCTAACTTCCCACGCTCCCTGCAGATGTGGGGCGCTTTGGTGGGGGGCAGGGTTGGGAAGTGCTGAGCCTGAGGAGCTGGGTTGAGGAAGCAGATTTAATTTCGGGTTTGTTTTTCTGTGTCACAGCTTTCAGCTTACTTAACTGTTGATCTGTTTTCCAGAAGGGCTCAAGCTCACAGTGGGCTCCCAGAGCTGAAACTTGAGATGAATCCTTGGCTTAAATTACAAGTGAAATTGAATGCGCTGGTCGCTTACCCTGACCAAACAGAGTATCCGTGCGATCATGCTCTCTGGCAGGGCTGTGGCGTGGCCTGGTGGAGGCACTGCTCAGACAGCAGTCCAGGCCCCCCACCTGCCACTGAGTGTACCCTGCACTGCTGCCTCCCCTCGTCACCCTCTGAGGCCCCCAACAGTTCCCCAAGATGGCTCACTTTCACCTTCTTGTTAAAAAAGTTTATCCTAAGGTTTTCCAGATTGATTTTTTCCCCTCAAATCTCCATTTGAAAGAAACCCCACACACTTATTTATGAATGGGCATCTTTTTGTCAGAAATATCAGGAATAAAATGTGGACTTGAGGATAGTCCTAATTCTGAAAGATTGCTGATTTTGGTGCCTTTCTTCAGGTAGTGTGACTGTACTTATATTCTATAATTTTCAAATGACACCAGTAAAAGGAATGGAGTGTTGATGGCAGGTGCTTTTATACTAACTTGCTAACTCCATGGCTCTGAGGTTCTTTTCAGACAACCAGGGAAGTCAAGTGTTGGACCCAAATCCAGACCCACTCAGTAGCTGTTCCCTGTATTAGATGTTGCCAATTAATACCGAGAACTTTTTTTTTTTTAATGTTTGAGAGAGAGAGACATAGAGCAAGAGTGTGGGGGAGGGGCAGAGAGACTCCCAAGCAGGCTCCACGCTGTGGCAGCACTTACTTACCACCTAATAACCAGTCGACTGTGTCCAGGCCTTTCAGAAACTGAAGGGAAGAAACTTGCAGCTCTCAGAGCATAGTGACGCCCTGTTGAAGAAAACAGCTTGTATTAAGCCATGTCATCAACAGTTCATTTTCTATAAAAGATGGATTTCTAGAACTGGACATATTCTAAGTGGGGAGATTAGTTGGCCTATAGAGACTAAGGAGGGAACTTTAGACTTCAAAAGAATCTTAGAGTTCACCTGATCCACACTTATCTGATTTATAAAAATTACCCGGGTCTTTTATTAAATAATGGAAATTCCTCGTCCCTACCCGGCCCTACTGAATCATGAGCTCTGAGGAAGGGTCCTAGGAATCTGTGTTTTGTTGCGTATTTGTCTGTCTTTTAACAAGCTGCCCAGGTAGTTATTAGGATCAGGCCATCGGGGAAACCCTGACGTAAGATAATCATCGCCCCCTACAACTGAGGAAACTAGGTCAGATTAATCAATCGATTGAGTTACCCAACCAGGAAATTAGGCCAGCCTGGATTCACTAGGGACAGGGAGTTGATCACCTCACCTGAATACCGTTTTCCCCATCTCTGTACATGGGATGAGTACCGGTGTCGTGGGCTGTTATGAGAATGAGACGAGACATGTAATAGTGCTTCCTGACCCATAAAGGGCGAGTTGAATGTCAGCATTCATTAAATAGCTAAACCAGGACGCCAGCTCCACAGCTCAGGCTCTTACTCCAGTGGGTCTTCAGGGCTTTATTAGGAAGTATTTTGAGCTGCTTTTTCCGGACTACAAACCGCCTATAGATTTTTAAGGCTACGACAGATTTCTTACTCTCTGATAGTTTCCTGTTTGCTTTAGAAGCCTAAGTTTTACCAAACTCACAGAAAGAAAGGATCAGATTTATGGTTACCAGAGTTGGTGGTGGAGACAAATAGGAGGAAGGTGGTCAAAGTTATAAACTTACACTCGGTTAAAGGTCAGACTCTTGGTTTCCATTCAGGTCATGATCTCACAGTTCCTCAGTTCTTGGGATTCTCTCTCTCTCTGCCCCTCCCCCACTTGCTTATGCATGTTCTCTCTCAAAATAAGAAATATAAACTTCTAGTTACAAGATAAATAAGTCCAAGGAATGTGCAGCATGATGACTACAGTCTAATGTATTATATACATGACAGTTATTTAGAGAGTACATCTTGAGAGAGTTCTCATCACAATTTTTTTTTGCTTTATATGAGGTGATGGATGCTAACTAAATTTACAGTGGTCATTATTTCACAGTATGTATAAGTCAAACTATTATGCTGTACACCTTAAACTGACACAGTGATACATGTCAGTGAGATCTCAATAAAACTGGAAAAAACTGCAAGTTTTAGCCTTTTAAGTTTTTTGGTTTTTTTTTTTTTTTTTTGAGAGGGAGAGTGTGTGAGCAGGGGAAGGGCAGTAAGTGGGTTTGGGGGAGAGAACCCCTAGCAGGCTCTGCATTGTTCATCTGGAGCCTTATGTGGGGCTGGATCTCAGACTATGAGATTATGACCTGAGCCAAATTCAAGAGTCACAGGCTTAACTGACTGTGCCACCCAGGTGCCCTGCCCTTTTACTTTTATTAAGCATTCTGATAGACCACTAAGCATTTCATGACTCTTGAGCAAAAGTTGAGACTGAAATCAGTCATACCTGTGCAGGTGCGAAATTGAGGCAACTCTTGAGAGGCTGAAGAAACTAGAACGGGACCTCAGCTGTAAAGAGCAAGAGCTCAAAGAACGGGAAAGACGTCTGAGGATGTGGGAGCAAAAGCTGACGGAGCAGTCCAACACCCCGGTGAGTGCTCCCAGTGGGTGACTCAGCCCCCCACTTAGAAGGGGCAGCATGGCGGCCCTCCCCTCCCCCGCTGCCACCTCCTCACTTCCTGCCTAATGCCTGCACGGTGGAGGGCCCGCGTTTACACTCAAGTAGCGCTCCGGTTCTCATTTTAGTTAACAAAATGCCAGAAATTTAAAAGAAAAGCTTAGCCTATTTCTGGCCCTTTCTCTAAGAACTGTTATTCTGTCAGCGTGTTTGTATATTAGAATTACAAAAATAAAATGCAGTGTATTTTTGCACCATCTGTTAGATTCCCCAGAACATGTGCCTAAAGGCTGATTAACTCCATAGAGCCCATCAGTAATTAATAAGCGCAAGGCGGCGGCAGCTTGCTGTCCAAGAGTCTCGATGTGGGGGGACTTAACCAAGTTTTCCTTCTAAAAGAAAATGAACTTGGTGACATGTCAGTACCCAGCATTAGTATTCCTCACTCGATTTAGTGTTACAATCATTGCAGCAAAAGACTGAAAAAAAGACGTCCCTTGGGACAAGTCTCTGCTATTTCCTACACTTAAGAACTACCTTGGTTTTTTTCCAAGCCTTTTACTTAGGGAAGATAAAATTCTTCATGAGGATTTCACTATTTATGTATTTAGCTTATGGTTATATGTTGACATGACATACTAAAGTCTAATCAAACTTCAGGATTCTTCCCTATTTTGAGTGATTTATCATTTCAGGAATTTAGTAGATTACTGGCTTTTTTTGGGTTCTTAATAGGTAATATTTGTCCACTTTAAAAACATAAGTAATGGTAAGATTAAAGGTAAGCTTACATATTTTAAATTCATTTCTATAGTTGCTGCAGTAATTGTACCCCAAAAAATACTTAAATGCCCTTCACTTGGTGATCTTCAGAAAGCTTTCCTATTTTTTAAAGCCTTAATCTCCATTAAGCAGCCAGTGCCCAGTTGCAAAATATTTTCCAGTGTCTAAAGAATAGTTTGCCTCCTTTTCCAGTTTATGTGGAAAAGCAACCTGATATCCAAAAAAGGGAAATACAGTGAAGTTAAATATTTATTATCAGATTTAACTTTTTCCAAAATGACTTTGGCCATCCACCGATTTCCAAACTAAGAACTGGAATACTATACAGAAGACTGCCATAGGGCATTAAAAACGTACTACATTTCGTAAGTTCGGTGAATTTAACTTTGGTTCTCAAGAAGGAAGTGGAGTCTTGTTGAATTGGCACTAAGAGGGAGACTCAGAAAGCATTACCCTAAGGGTCTGCTGGGAGCACGGCTTCTCCCAGAGGTGAGGATAGGCAGGAGCATGGCTGTCTTCTGAAGGCTGGGCGGGGGGAGGGGATGATTTTTGTTTTTTTAAGTACATTGAAATCTTAAGCTACAAAGCACTGCATGGCTTGACTCTTTCTAAATGTAGCACTGAAAGAAAAAACTTTAAACTACCTATTACAGTATGCTTTAGAAGCTTTCTTTGGTTTATCGGCATTAGTTTTGCTAAGAGATCATGGGCTGCCTTGCACACATCATTGCTATTAGTAACATAGTTGTGTAATAAATAATGAAACAGTAGGAGTGCTCAGTAGGTTGAATGCTTGCGTTTTAACTCCCGAAAACTTTCTGTAAAGAACTGCTCTGAAGGCTACCATCTAACAATGGACAGCATGAAGCATGATCTCAGAGAGTTTCGTCCACCCCCCCCTTTTTTTTTTTTAACCTATAAGGGCTAAGTTTTCTTTCTTACAGTACGTGCTTTTAATGTCTCTTCTGCTTAGAGCTCCTATTTCTGAAGGAAAGAAAGTTTGTGCTCACGTATTTTCTAAGTAGGTGTCTTTTATCCTCACATCAGTTTCTAGTTGACTTTAAATGAGGTTTCTGAGAGAAAGATGAAATAAACCTTTTTAAAAGAAAGTGGCTGGAAGTTTAGGTTTTCTGTCTGCAGCCTCATCTTAATTATAAAAGTTTAGCATTTATGTAACCTCATAAAAAATAGTATTAATGGATTCACTTCAAGAAGAGGTACCATTTTCTTTCTTGAAATCAAAACATTTGGGGAAGATGAATTCTCCCATACAGAAATAACAGTTTATTTTTTAATTATTGATGTAGCTTGATGTAAAAAATTGATTTTTCTTAAACATCAAAGCTTATTTATAAGAGAGTCATCTGTTGAGAACTTAATGTGAGGACAAAGCTCTCTAAGATAATCTAACTGATTATCTAATAATCTAACTGATAATCTAATTGAAAACAAATTTGAGAAGCTGCAAAGTTTGGCTGCAAGGAAAATAATATCCTGTTTCCAGTGTTAAAGGATCTAATGCAGTTTTTTTTTTCTTCTATATAAACTGGAACTTTTTAGCTGAAGCATTTGAAGTTCTTATTGAGCTAACAAGTTACTCTGGAAATCTTTTCCTAATAGAGTAAGAAATTTTTTAAAAGCCCAACTCCAGGGGGCGTCTTGTTGGCTCAGTCAGTAGATTCTTGATCTCAGGGTTGTGAGTTTGAGCCCCATGTGAGGTGTAGAGATTACTTAAAAAAATAAAACTTTAAAACAAAGAACCTCAACTCCAACTTCACTTTAAAAATTACGAAACTGGCCCTAAAGACCATCTTTACACCCAGGATGTAAAGGTCATCCCATGTTATTTGTACATTGTTTATCATAAACTTACCCATATTTGAACAACATCAAAAATATTAAGCCTTAATTTGCTTATTTCTCAAAAGAAGAGGCAGTAACACTTTTCAGATCCTGACAGTTCTACTCCTGTAATGAATATGACCAGCATTTTTTTGAAAATCATGATGTAAGGTAAAAAAAAATAGATGTCTGTACCACTGTAAGAGGGGGAATTCCTAGGGAAAAAAAAAAAAAGAGTTCTGCTAAAAGAAGGGCACTTAGAGAATAGAGCAAAAGGTAACAGTCTAAATTAATAGTAATTTGCTCCCAATTTTGGTACGTATTTATATCCTTACCACTTAAGTATTACAGACAGATCTAGAATTGGTTCACTAGTGAATTATTTCAGAAGTCGAATAACTAGGTTCTAGCTGGTTGTAATAAATGGAAACTAGTGAATTCTAGACTCCTTTTTAAGTTAGAGTCAGATGGTAATCTAGATAGAAAGGAGATTAATGGCCCAGATTTCCGTAGAAGGGTATTGACTACTGAACTGTCTTCACACTTCCTCTAAACTTTATCCTTTGGCACAAGGTTCCTTTATTTTTCAGTTGAGATTTAATTTCTACTTAATTTCTTTTTTAATTTAATAGTTAACATTTCTGTGTGAAAGTGAAATTGGGAAAAATTAAGAGAAATCCTAAAAACTATTTTGTTTTAAGTGAAATGAGGGCTTAAAACTTGCAACTTGCTCCCCATTTGAAATCTGGCCTGCCGTGGTGCTTTGCGAACTTTTGGTTGTGATTTACTCTGTCATTTATAAATTATGGCAAACATGCTGGAGCCAAACCTGCCATTAAATAAATTTTTACAGAATTCTCTATATTCGTTTATTTCACTGATCATTGACCTTCTGTGCAGCACCGACTAATTTTGTGCTGTTTCCTTTATTTAAATTGGTCCTAATTTCTCTTTTTACTTCTGTCCTTTCTTCCCTCATGATAGCTTCTCTTGCCTCTTGCTGCAAGAATGTCTGAGGAGTCTTACTTTGAATCTAAGACAGAGGAGTCAAACAGTGCAGAGATGTCATGTCAGATCACAGCAGCAAGTAACGGGGAGGGCCATGGCATGAACCAAAGTCTGCAGGCCATGATGCTGATGGGCTTTGGGGATATCTTCTCAATGAACAAAGCAGGAGCTGTGCTGCATTCTGGGATGCAGATAAACATGCAAGCCAAGCAGAATTCTTCCAAAACCACATCTAAGAGAAAGGGGAAGAAGGTCAACATGGCCCTGGGGTTCAGTGATTTTGACTTGTCAGAAGGTGACGATGATGATGACGATGATGAAGGTGATGAGGAGGATAATGACATGGATAATAATAGTGAATGAAAGCAGAAAGCAAAGTAAGAAAATTGAAAAATGTTCGGCAAAACAAAAGAAACTTGCTACTCAGTCTGTATGAAAACCAGTAAGGAGGTAGAAAACTAAGCACGGAATTTTTAGGCCAATCACATTTCTATAACAGTCATTTCTGTAATGATTTTACTTTTTTTTCCCTGCTTACAGAAAAATGAGGTTGGGGGATGGGGGTGGGGGGTAGGGTTAAGCCAGAAAGGTATATTTAATGAGTCAGCAAATATGGTGCCTGATTATAGAAATTTGTGACTCTTTTATACAATACAGTATTTTTCACAACTAATTACATTCTGGCTTTTTTTTTTTTTTTTTTTAAGCAAATACTTTATACTTTGATTTGACTTCATTTATTTAATTGCTTAAGAAAACTTACATTTTGAAAAAGCCCTCTTAACTCCTAATTCTTTGACACTGATTTTCTTGTAACACACTACATTTCTTTTTCTTCTGGCAATACACAGTCCTGTCAGAAATAATTGAGAGTGACTACAAAATCCAACAATACAAAAATTGAGATGAAAGGCGGCTATCACAAATACTTCAGAAATACCTAAACGCGAAGAATTTTCAACACTTAATAGCACAACTACTCACAGTAAAACCTGAGAGACATTCTTAATAGCGCACTAGAAGAAGAAACACTCTAATTTGAAACCAACAGCAGATGCTGCAGGCTTTCATACCTGTGCTAGCCCTGGAACAGCACACTGTCATCTGAGGTGTAGTTTTATAAAAGAAGGATATGGTCTTAAAGGGAAACTTACAGGCAGGGCTGCTCAAGTGCTGATACGGACCCGCTCTGCGCTGCCAGGAAGGGCATATGCATGTTTGTTTTCCAGAGGGGCCTGAGAACCCTGCGTTCTAAATACATGTAGAGATGTTTTAAAGAGGGGATTAACTATTGTAAAAGGAAAAGCAAAGATAAATTTTACTGAGACAGGTGTGGAGGATGATGGGTCCTTTTTATATATATATATCGAATCCGGCCTCCCAGGGAGTGTGCGTTTTGTTTTTTTAACCTGGATTCAGCCACTGGTGATAAACGGAAGTGAATGTAGGTGCTGTCTGAAAACTTAGTTCACCAGAGGGATACTCTCGGAATGTTAATCACGTTTGTCAAAGCTATAAAACTAGAAAACACTATTTGAAAAAACAAACTACCAAGCATTTGGAGTCCTATATATACAAAAAAGGCAAAAGAACAAAAACTTTTTTCAGCCTGTTTTGGTAGTTCTTTTAAGGGTGAATTTAAGAAGAGATAACGTCATGGATATTATCTAATACCATTTCCAAGTATACTCAATCAGGAAAAGCCTCTGGAAATTTGAAACATGACAGGCTTTTAATCCCCATTAACAGCTGAAAAATGTCACAAAATGATCAGTACACTGTGCCAGCTTTATTTGGAGAAAAATAACTATTAAAATGTACTGGATGTGAAATGTAGAACAGTCTATATACCATGGCGATAAAGAGAAGGATCTGTAGTCTACTTATGATTCAAAACTGCTCTGTAATCTGTTAAAAATTATTTAACCTCTGTGTGTCTGTCTGCTTATTTTTGCCATGGGAATGATAACCGTACCCACACTTCAAAGGACTAATTTAAAGATTAAATGAAATAATACATGCAAAGCACTTAACACAGAACCAGGCCCGTGGTCAGTTAACTTTAGCAACTCTTAATTATGCCAGTGAATAAATAAATGGTTACGGTAACCTGGAAAACTAAACTATCAACTTCAAGTAATACTGGTTCAGTAGTAGGAGATGAAAGTTAAATAGCTTTCCAGGAAAGATGAAGAGAACATTCTTAGAACATAAACTATATAAACAAATTGAGCCTGATGTTCTTTGAAGACTACATACCTGAGGCATCTGCAGGCCCTGCTACCATCCACAGACTAAGGAAGAACAAAGAATAGGTAAAGCCTTCCCCTTGGAAGATGGGTTCCCTGCATAGCCAGTCAGGTACACCTTCTGTCCACGCAGACATTCACAGACGCACGCGCACTGCTACACAGTGCTGGCAGCAAGCAGGCACAAACCTAAACAGGTGTCTGTCTGTGCTCAGACACAGAGCAGCACTCCTTGACTCGAGCTGAGCCCCTCAAGCTGAACATCTGGGAACCAAGCAGAGGAGTGTTTTTCAACTTGTGACTTCCCAGCATGCCCTGAGGGCACTGTAGTCCAGCAACCTGAAGGAGAGAGCCGAGGAGGAAGTAGTTTAAAAGCCTCTTGCACGTCTTTCTAGGGCAAGATAAAGTCATTCATTCCACACTCATTGAGCCCCTTCTCTGGCCAGGGACTATTCTAGGGACCAGCGAGAGGGAGACCCTGTGCTCATGCAGCGCACCTGCTAGCGAGCAGAGATCCTGACAGTAAACAAAACAAATGGGTTCTAGGGTACGTAAACGCTTGAGAAGCGCATGCTGAGAAACGGAGCAGGGAAAGAGGATGACGCAGAGAGAGGCATGTTGCGGATTTTCAGGTGTGGTTGGACAAGGCCTTGCTGATCAGGGAATCTCTGCAGGCTAATTTTGGGATCTGTGCACTTTGTGTAAGAATGTAAACCCTGCGTCTCATTCAAGAATCCTCATCAACAAATTGAGGGCAGGATAAACAGAATGAAACTGAAAAAAAAATTAGAAATTCTTCCTAATTTATATATAAATGTATTATAATTACACATAAAGTTTGGGCGCATTAATAGAAGTGGCCAAATAGGGCAGAAAGAGAAAGGTAATAGGACTCTACTCAGACATGGGCTTACCCCGTTACTTAGGAAACATTTCTAATCTCTCCACTACGGTCCTCTTCCTTGCCAGTGTCCAGGGAACAGTGGAACCTATGAAAGCCTCGGTGATAAGCATGAACTTGTTCTCCACCTGTAACTGTATTTTATTATAGGTAATTATCATACAGCGTAACTTTACTTTCTGTTCCAAATAAGAGCCTTTTTTGTAGGCACTTTTTTGAACATCCCTAAAATCTGAATCATATAAAGAAAATTTTAAAGTGGTCTCACTCTATCTGTGAAGATTATTTAGAAGACTTTAGACCCTCTTATTTTATTACGTTTAAAAGGAACTCTCCATTACATAGAACTTCTAATGATGTTAATTGTGCGGCTTCTAATTCACTTTTCAGATCAGTTTTTCAAATGGCAAAATATTGATGTTGGGTTTATTTCCAATTACTTGACCTACAAAAGTGTACAGTTATAAAGAGAATTATTAAAGAAACACTAAGAAATGTAAAGATTCAGCATGATAATTGAAACTCTAAATTGTAATAATTTTCAGAGTCATACAACTGAAAATATAATTACTCTTTTTCATCTCTTTCTCAGTATTTGTAAAGTTGATCATCTAGAATTTGATGATTCTCTACCAGCCATTCTCATCTGGGCACCTAATGGTGTTTGATGGGGCTAGAGCATATTTTGGGTTGTCACAGTGACTGAGGTGTATTTAACGCCCAGTGCCAAAAAATGGCAACATCCTTCATGCGAGGCACATCCCCCCCAATAAAGAATTCCATACACCAATAGCACTGCCCCTTCGCCCTTTGAGAAACTTGTTAAACCTGGCACTTTTAGAGTTCTGTATCAAACTTTTCTCCCCCCAACAAAATTGCTCAAGTCAAAAGATGCATTTTCAAAATTACAACTACTATACAATCTGCATTTTATAGGTTTGTAGCACTTATCTTAAATCCACTTGTGGAGATGGTTTCTTTCCCCTTAAGAATGCTGGTGGAAACTTTATAAAACAGAATTTACCTGGGGTGGGGGCGGGTGTCACTCTATTACACTAATTCCAAAGTAAATAAAAAAGGAAAACATTACTGAGGAAGCTACAGTTCTGCAAAACAGCCAGGTTAATTTAAAAGGGCTTGTGTGTGTGTGTGTGTGTGTGTGTGTTTTAAGTAAAACCACATTTTAATATTTTACATTAATAGCCAATGGGCAGAGTTGAAGGCACAAAGGACACTTGTTCGGGATGCTCTGGAAATGTTGAGGGCCAGTGCTTAGCCAGTGATTTTTAACATGCAGCAAATCTGTTAGATTTTAACACCAGCTGAGGTATTCAAAATTGATTCCCATTAAAATCAAGGAATCAGAGGTAAGATGTGGAAGAGATCCAGAATGACTTCTCCTGGCACTATGATGTACATACCTTTATTTTTCAGAGTTTTCACTGGAGTAGGAAGAATTTCATGAAAGACCATTGTAAAAGCTATTTGGAGTTAAATATCAAGACTTTTTGGGTTTTTGGCACACTAGACTGGTTGCAGCCTTTCAAAACTAGCACATTCTCACTATACCACATATATGAGAGGGCATCATTTTTCTATAATCAGGCACCTTTTGCTGCTTTTGAGTAAGACTGTTTTCCTGTTTAGACTTTAAGCGTTGCCATAAAGAACAATCTGTTCTGTTCTTTTGATCGTGGCCCAGCCTGATAGCTGTAGCATTTCTGTGATGAAAAAGGAGTGTGTACCAGGAAATCTGAAGGGCAAGCCATGTTCCCTTAGGCTTCAATTTAGTTGCAAGCTCTTGCCTATGAGGAGCTTTCTGGCATGTGATTACTGACTTTAAAACGAGCGTTTCAAGCACCTACATTAATTATTTTATATTGTGTGCAGAACAGTTTATCTTTTAACGTCAGATACAATACACTGCACATATTGCTTTTGCACTTTTAAAAATTTTGTACTAAATAATAGGAAATATTTATATTCTTTGAGTGTGAGCTTTGAATAGATGGCATTATCACTTTTTTTTTTTTAACAAAACCTTTTTCTCAACGATTCTGTTGCAATGTTATTCTGAGCAAATCCTATGCCAAATATCTTGTATAATGTTTGTATGGAAGATTACATTTCACTCGTGTGTGGTAAGACTACTCAGTTACTGATTTCATAGTTGGAATTTGATATTCCAGCACAAGTCCACAATGTATTCAGATCCAAGTTGGTGTCATACATTTCATTTTGATGTGAACTTTTCTTTGCTTTTTTCTTTGTTTTAAGACTCCATTTTGCAATAAACGTTTTGACAGTAAATCCCTTTGTTATGTGTTGCTGTGTATACCAGATCTTTGTTAGATGGGATTCCCAACATCCTCGGAAGGAATCACCGTCACACGCATGCACATGAATGTGAGCTTTTCTCTCCTGAAATCAGTTGAGTGGAAATAATGAATCTGTAAAGTGATGGGGCAGTCAGTCACGATGGGGATTTTTTTTTTTATCCCCCAAATAACGAAAGGCTTAGAACTCACGCTATAGCAGATACACTGCCATGCTAAGAAGGTACAGAAAGCATAAAGGAAATGGTAAACCACTATATGGCTGGAGATCATTAACTCTTACCCCCATCTTGGCAAATTCAAACCGTCTTGAAGCAGCATCTGGCTCCAGCTTTCCTATCACTGATCTCGGCAAGCCTTGTGCAAGAATCCTGCTGGAGTGATTATCACACTGAATCTGTGCCTTTCCCTTGGCGTCCTCTTGATGAGCCACTCTAGGAGGGCGAGAGAACTCTTCCCCTCTCCTTTTGACCTGAAAACCAAATATAATGGGTTTTGATTAGTTGTTTCATTTACAACCGTTATTCAAGAAATCCTTAACAATTTTGTTTAGCACGACATTTGGGAATTGTATAAAAATTGAAACTCCGCATATCCCCCCACCACTCCCTATAGAGGCCAGCCCTGATGCAGGGAGAGAGTTCTGTAAACTCAGTCTGTTGTCCCTTGAAGTCATCAAAAAAGTTCCTTATTTCACATTTGTTTCCGTGATGGGGAAAGGGAATGACATGTTTCTGCAGCTGTATTCAGCTGCCCTGAGAAGAAATAAGATGTCCTGTATTTTCTTTGATCAAATTCAGTTTTAGATTTTCTTCCTCAAGTCATTTTCCTTTCTGCATTACTGAAGCAGGTGAGTGCATGTGATGATTCCGACATGTATCCAGTGTTTCAGGGGAGAAGAGGGGCAATCCTGGGAACTGGGGCACGTGGGGGTAGTGGAGTAGCTACACACCACTAGTGACTTATGCCCTTACAACTTAGCTAGAATATTCAAACTTAGCTAGAATATTAAAACATTCAAATATATTGTAACTTACGTAATCTGCTTGGCTCCCTCGAGATTTTTAACCATCGCCAGAGAGAATTTAAGCATTTTAAGCAAAGATGTTAAGCGTTTCCCCTTTATCCTCCAACATACACACGCTGCATCCAGTGCGGCACACGGGCCATGCCCTCCTTCCTTCCTGTCCCCAACACTAGTGCCAGTGTTTGACCTTCCTTCTTCTCAACTAGAATCACATCTCTGTTCCTGTTCCCTGTAGTACCCAGCTCAAGCCACCATGCCTTCTGTCCCCATCTCAGTCTATGCAGCCCTCCCTTTTCCAGGTATACCCGCACTCATGGAGTCCTGTATCAGAGGATTTGGCATTTTAGTAAATGCACCTGGCAGTTGGATTCATTCAACAAAATGGTTCAATAAAAATTTACCAAGTATTGTATGCCAGGCACTCTGCTAGGCACTGAGTACACCAACATGAAGGTAACCTTGAACTCCTTCATCTATAATCCATATCTGTTTCACCCCCAATTAAACTGAAAGTTCCTTAAAGGGAGGAGCATACCTTTCCTAATAGTGTTTTGAGCATGTGAGTTCAAAATATTTGCAGATTAGAAACTCTAATTTCTAAAAAACTGATTTTTACTCTAATAGTAAAAGCAACCAAATTCAACTTTTTTTATGCAATTCATTCATCAGAAAAATATTATATGTAACAAAGGTTGAAAGACACTTTGCCCATACGTGCCCATACACCCACGCCTTATGACGGATCTAACCATCCCGGCAAGTTAAGTTAGTTACAGCTAATGGCTATGGCAAACTCTAATTCAAGACACAGGACTCACAATTTTTCTTCAAATTATGTAGCCATTTATCACTTAGTCTATGGCTGTGGACATATATTGAAGCAAGTAGCTCTCTGGCTTGGAAAAAGATGGCAGGCCCAAGTCCTTCTGCAAGGTCCTTCATGTGTACGCCCGAACAGGAGAGAGGTTAGTTGTTTTCATTAGAGCAAACTCTGCCACATGGGTTTCTTGGGACAACAGTTCCGGTTTCACTTGTCCTCCTTCATCCATGGGTCCTAATATTTGCTTTTAAAAATATAAGGCAAGGGAGTCATTTGGCTAACCACTTAGAAATTCTCCTGTAAGCAGCAGCCTATAGGGATGCCTGGCTGGCTCAGTTCATAGAGCAGGCAATTCCTAATCTCGGGATTGTGTGTTTGAGCCCCATGCTGGGTACAGAGATTACTTAAAAAAAAAAAAAAAAAAAAATCTGAAAAATGGCAGCAATAGCAGCAGCATACAGGTCATCTGATTACCAAAGGGTTGCTGCAGAGTTTTCATGAATAATCAAATGATCCTCATGCTGACTGAGAATTCCAAGGGAGCCTCTGGTATCTGGCAAATGTCAGAAGCTCCTCAACTGTCAAGCCGTGTTGTGGGAGGGAAGTCCACTCTTGGTGTGCCAAGTACCGAGAGAGGACAATCTCAAGATCTACAGCCCCTGCTGCAATAGCTCACCAAGTGCAGTGAATTGTTACTGAGAAGCTGGTGCCCGGGAGTGGCTTCTGTGGGTAAATGCCTGGAGCACTGAGAAATTGCTCTCGAGGTCAGGAGAACTGCTTGCCATTCAACCTACCCTGCCAAGGAAGAAACCAAGCCAGAACAGCGGCCAAAAGCTAAAATAGGGAGACAAAGGATGAACCAAAAAGACAGTGATGATATTACTTTTGTTTTTCACTGCGTTCATATTTCCCATGCAGCTGCTGCCTTCCTTTGAGATTGGCTCATGGACGGAAGATGACGTGGTAAGTGGCTTCTGTGAACGCCTCCTTTGACCAGGGCAGGTATTTCAGACATTTGTCCATAAGTTATAGCTGCAGCTGGAGGGGTCTGGGCCTTAGGAAAGTCTAAGTAGGAGAAGTTGACAAATTCCTTGTTTTTCTATTTTTAATGCAGTCATGATTTAAAATAAGGCCTCAAGAGCAAAGCAAGTAACTCTTCAAATCTTAGAAGAGGATTCCACCTCCCTATTTGCTCTGAAAGGTATTCCAGAATACTATAATGAATACCAATGGCAAAGTTAAAGGAGTGATCCAGGATACCCAATGAACAAATGTGAAAAAAGTTTGATCTTAAATTTCCCTAAGATACCAGGGATGGACTGGAACCACAGTGGAGAAAGATCTGGTAAAGGCAGCTCTAGGCTGGGATTCCGCTGATCTGGGTTTCCTTCCTACCTTAGGCCTGTTTGAAAGCGACAGGTTCCTCTTTCCTCCGGCCTTTCCCAGGGGGACTGGACGCAAGCCCCCAGACATTCTCTGCAGCTGCAGCCAGAGGATGGGGACAGATTATTTAAATCCCGAGGAAGTTCTATACCTTACACTTGGGTGGAGACCCTCAGGAACAATCCTCTTTAGCCTGTTGCATCTCTGTATCTGTTTCTTTAGTGAAAAGTCTGGAGAATTCTTGATCAGAGACCTCAGGGGTTTATAGTTGTCCAGGTCTATTTTACAGGCCCAAGGCATCATTAAATGAAAAAGAAAAACAGCTGTAATGCCAGCCTTAGCAAGCCCTCACCCCAGGGAACAGACCAAATGCCACTACTCATGACTAGAAACTCTTGGGAAGGTCTGTTTACCTAACACAACCTGGTTTCTGGACTGGGGCATCTTCCTCCCTGCCCACCATATTCTGGTGAAGTAAAACTGCTTTCAACATTAGCTCACCTCTTTGGCTTCTATAGGGTGAGGAAACTTGGCACCACTTGCCTCTACTTCTTCCCATTCACTGGGCCTTGTCGTTGGTAATGTTCCCACCAGCCCTGCTTAATAACAAGGAAAAAGAACTTAGGATCTATTCATGGGCCTGGATATAATCCCTTTATCCCCAGCTGGAAAGTTGGCCCATCTCATTTGAGAAGAAATTTTTAAAAAAGCACTGAGCTCTAACAGTTATTTTTAGCCTTTGCTCTGAGGTCGAGTGGTTTTCAAGCCATGTAAACAAAATCCCAGGGTCAAGGGCTCCCCAGAGACTTGCTAGGACCAGGTCTGGACTCCCTTCTGTCTATGTGAGGGGCTACCAGTAAACATGTGGCAAGTGATATTCAAGGCCTGAGGGTCACAGGGTCCAACTTCATTCTATACAGGAAGCTCTGTGCTTTAACTGGTCATGGGCCGCAGAGCTACTTCCTGACCAGGCCTACGCCATGGCACTTTCTGCCTACTTCTTTGTCCCCTGCTGTGTGTTCCCTGCTCCTCATACAATTCCTGGGTAAATCAGTGCCCCTCAGCAACCCCAGGGACCATCAGCACATAAAAAGAAAAGTCATTATAAGAATCTTCTTGAAGGATTTTTTAAATCTCCCAAATAAAGCAGAAAACCAACATTTCCTCAAGTATGCCAAGATGTCCACTGGGACGGGTACCTCCAATTTGAAAGCCTGACGTTTTAAATCCAGAAAGGGAGTGTCTTTCTTTTTACCTTGGTGGTTGAGCCAAAATTTACATCACAAAACTATAGATATTTTAATCTACTGAAAAGTGTGTTTTACTGTGAAGTCAGGCCACTGACCGTGTGTGAATCTTCAAAACCATATATGTCCTCTCTTTCACAGTATTTTTGGGTTCAGCAGCTCGTCAGAAAAGGCAAGTGGAATAACTTACCTTCTTAATTCATGCAGTTAACTTTGCTCGGGACATGGTTTCATCTCATTTTGTTCTGCCTTCTCTCATCCCTTCCTTCAGGGGACTCTTCTGCAGAGATGAGCATATACGCAAGTTTGTTTAAGGAAAACAACATTACAGGAAAGCGACTCCTTCTTCTGGAGGAAGAGGACTTGAAAGACATGGGCATTGTCTCCAAGGGGCACATCATCCACCTGAAGGTACCTCAGAGAGGGAGGAGAGTCGGTCGACAGTCTTTACTGAGCACCTACTATGTACTGAGCACCTACTATGTAGCAGACCATGT